TGCTGTGAGCATGTATGATACAAGAAATACATATGAAAAGATTGCCATTGTGTTTCTTGTGCACATAGTCCCAGATACAGTGTGTCTGTGTCTGAAGTCAAGCATCCAAAACCAAAGGCACCCAAAGCTACTTTCCCGAATGCACAAATCCTTGAGATGCAGCCCTTATTGTCTGGTGTTTCGAGTTCATTGTTTATGAAAAAATGGTGGTTTGAAATTAGGTGCAGCAAGTAGAAGCTTTTGCTTTCTTCACAATGATGCCTTTTTGCAGTTCTGAGTGGTCTGACTGCCTTGCAAGCCTCATCAGTTCCCAGCATCCATAAACAATTGCTTTTGTCCCTAGAAGAGGTGGAAACCCCAGGATAACAGGGTCTCTATTGAATTTTCTTGGCTCAGAGGAGCTGACAGGCCAAGGAAGCCAAGGTTTTAGAAATGTTTCAGACGGAGAAGATGGCAAGGGGCTGGTCACTACAGAAATATGCCAACATGTGCAATGGGCAGTGCCAGGCTGCTTTTGTTTAGTTCAGCCTCCTTCTAAACCAGGGAGTGATTTGGGGTCTTTTCCCTGTGCTGCTTCTCACGGTGGATGTAGAATCTGCATTCAGAGCAATTACTGTGCTGCAGCCAGTGGTATCGATTTGTGAGGCTCTCAAGTGCAGATAACTACTTAGCAGGCTTGATAGTGATTAAAATTTTAGGAAGCAGCTTTGTAATAGGACCGTGGGGGTCCTAAATTTTTCAAAATATAAGCACCTTCAGTGTAAAGGCAGTGCGGTCACTGCCTTGCACTCCCTTTGGCTTTTCTAATCCCTCCTTTTCCCAAAAGATTTTTTTTCCTCTTTTTTTCTTTTCCTTTTTCTTGTTTCAAAACATCCAGACAATTATGCCAACAAAACACTGAAAGTTAATCACAAAAATGCAATAGGCACCATCCAACAGGCAGCATTGCAAGGATATCCCTGGTGCCCTGAAGTTTCTGGGAGTATTACAGAAAGCCTGAGATTAAAGGGACGGACAAAGGACATGCTGGCATTTTACCACAAAGTGAAAACATAGACTGAGGCAAGAAGAAAAGTTTGTGGATATATGAGTGTTTGGTCTTTGAGAACAGATGCTGAAAGGGAAGAATGAATTTAAGAAATATGAGAAGAAAGCACTGCCAGCATAAGGAACAGAAGTTGCTCAGAACAGGGAATGGCAAATTTGAGACTACTGTTTATTTTTAGAGAGATTTCTGAGAGAAACCAGTAGCTGAGTGGATCCCAGAATGTTGTTCATCTGTACCCCTGCTCTTCGTAGGGTGCTTTGTTTATCAGCTGTTGAACACACAGCACTCTTCCTCATCTACCTTGTGAAGCACTGACTGTGTGCCCACAAGATAATGAAGTACAGTGGGCACTTGTATTAAGTTAGAAACACTGAGTTGGAGGCTGTCTTGGGCCAATCTAACATATAGTTTCCTTTTTCCACATGTGAAGCTTGTTTATTTTTCATCGTTCTAGCTTTGGTTTAAGAATCAAAAGTCTGGTCAGGAATGGAATCCCGTTGTAATCAGTTATTCATTCTTTTTCATAGTGACAGCATGGGTTCAAAACTGTTAATACTCAGGCTCGTAGAAGTACATTGGCTTTCTCAGCTTCTAAGGGTAATGCTTTTTTTCTTTTCCACCAGCCAAATGAAAAAGACAGAAAACCCACTGATAAAATAGCTGGATGCTTGGTAGTGTTGCGATTGATTTGGTTGGCACACTAAAAATTCAGGAATTCTGGTATATGTCCTACAGTTCCTAACACCTTTTTTCCAGTAGATGCTTTAGGAACAGATTGTCCTATGCATGTAAAAGGATATGTCTGTCTTCCTAGAGAGAGCATGTTCTCAGGGACAGTACAACCAAAAGCACAATATTTATCTCCTGTATATGCTCACTGGGGTCAATATTGCATTTCTGAATGTCTCCTAGGCTTGTATATGTCCTGAAGTAAATAATACGGCTGATGTAAACTGTATAAAACATTTCTCAGAAAGAGGACTGCTCAGGACATTTAATTACCCCTTTAATTGCAATCCATACCTCATCTGTAATTTGTGTTTTTAAAATTAGGTAATAAACATATTTCAGGTCTGTTGTGTTTCCTCCTTTGGGACCTTTATGTGATCACATGTGGGTGTCTGTAGTGTGGGTGTCCAGACATCTTAAATTCCATGGAGAGAAACGCCTTTCTAGGATAAATTCTTACTATAAAATCATATCTAACACTGTTCATTTGATCCACAGTGCAAAACTGCCTGTTACATCTCTCTGCCTGCAAAGGGAGTTGAGTGTGATTAGTTCAGAGTTAAATATCTGTGATGTATAACTGGGTAAGATGAGTATTACTTTATGTGGCTTTTCTGGTGGTATGGAGACATGTATAAAGAAATATCCTAGGGCTATTATGGAACAAGACAGCATGATCAAAAAAAAAAAAGTGGCATTACAAAAATGCTGGCCAGTAAGCTCTCAGCAGAATCCAGGTGGAAGTGATATGTTTCTGGCTGTCAGCTCTATGCAGTTAATATTGATTTGAGCAGATGTGTGTTTATATTTTGCCTGTTATTTACAACTGATTTTTCATGTTGGCATTTAATATTATGGGCCTGACCATGACCTTGTGCTGTCACAAATAAATTAAGCCTATTATATATCAAAGCAATGAAATGTGTATTTTCTAAGATAGGGAGAAAGATCTGGCAGGTAGGAAGTCATGGATATGGCTCTTGATTGTACCTCACATGTCCTATTTGACTTAGGGAATTTCCTCCTCTGAACCTTACTTTTCATTTTTGTTATCACATTTCTAAGTTGCAGGGGTTGGGAGATATCAAAAGAAAGGAAGTCCTGGAGGTTTATCACCAGCTATGTTTCAGTTGTCCTTGTTCTGTACCCCCGTGGGACAATTGGTGGCTTAATTCTACCTTGAAGTTCCTACAGTCCCAATACTGGCTGCTCTAGTGTGAGACTAAGTCATAGGCAGGTGGCTGCTTTCAGGGCTTGAGGCGTCCAGATCTTTATATGCTGCTCTTAAGGCACCTGAGAGTTTGATGTAAATTATGGCTCATAATTGACTGTCTTTTGGAATGGTCATAATTGATTGTCTTTGCCTGAGAAGATGCAAAAGATGTTTCTCTTGGGGTCAGAGTAGCTCTGTGAGGAGGAAATTCACAAAACACAGAATGAGTGTAGACTCACGTGTTTTGCTGGATGAGCAACATTTTTTGTACTCTTAAGTGACAAAATATTAAAATTTGTGGAATGTATTCCTTGTATGTTTGAAGAGTTCACATTCCCATGGAGGTGTGTGAGGTCAAGAGGAGGAATGAACTGGCAAAGGTGTACTATGTCTTCTGCAATAGCCCAGTTCCAGGTGGGCTATTCCAATATTGCAGTTCCAGCATTTAAAGCCCACTTAAATAAAAAATAATAAAGTGGAGATTTGCCATAGTGCAAGCTTTGTCCTGCTGCAGGTTTTTTTAGAGCTGTTTGTCACTGACATCTGTCTGTCTTGAACTGAATTGCAATGAGCAGGTCCAGCATTTTGGCCCTAAATCTGCTGATCATAGCAGGCATAATAAAAATGCCCTAGCAAGGTGCTTCCTTCCCTCCTCATTTGGTGTCAATTACCAGGATGCAATGATTTTGAGTGGAAGTTGAATATTTAGGGGAATAGCACTTGCCATAAACTTTATTAAAAATGGAGAAGTAAAAGTAATGCTGGCTCAGAGTATTTTCTGAAATTTCAGTCCTCAACAAAGGAGAACAAAGTCTTTTCCAGCTAGTAAATTGCTCTATATTTTGTCAAGCAAAGGTAAGGATTAATCAGGACACAGTCTTGTTAACATTTTTATAATAGTTATTAGTTAATGCACATGATGATTAAGTACTAGAGGTGCCTCTGACTGCAGTCACTGGGAACTGAATTAAGGTCTAAATCACTGTTTGAATCTCTCTTCTGATTTCCTGAAAAATAATGAGGATTTGAAGAACATCTAATTTGTCTATCACTGGAAATGAATGTGTGTCTTCCCTCATGCTTCTATTAACTAGGAGGTCAGGCAGCTAACAAGAAACTGGTGGTTTAACCCTTATCTTTAATCCAGGACTATGACTTGGATGCTAGGATCAAGAGCAGAAGCAAGGCTGCTTGTCAGAGATGCTGCTGAGGCAGCTGTACAGTGGGACTGGCACCCAGAGCAGTCAGCACTGCCAGCATTCAGGCTGTCCATCAAACCACTGGCCATTTGGACTCCTCCAGGGAGCTGATGAGGCCACCAGTGCCAGTCCAGGGGGACCTCAACAATGGAAGTAAAGTTTAATTCCATAAACTCCTTATTTGCAGTGCACAATGTCTTTTCTTTGTTACTTGTTAATTCAGAGGGAACAAACAGTCATTTTCAATGTGACACTTCTTTTATTAATGGAATATTGCTTTTATTAGATCAGAAGTGATAAAATGTCTCAGGATAAAATGAGTTTTTAAACCTTCTTAATTAATGAGGGAACATTGATCATTAAGAGTGTCAATTAAGCAAATGTGCATAAAATGTCCAATATAAAGGAACAGCTATAATTAGTATGCTGGCAAATACTATTATCCCATCAATTAAAGTGTTCTGTATTCCACCCTGAACTGAAATACATCCTTCTGACCAAACCAGGAGGAACTTCAAGATTTCATGTGCCAGGGAGAACAGGAACAGGTCTCCAGGTGGAAAGAAGTGAAGCAAAGGGGTGAGAAATATAGAATTCATAAGTACAATGACATTCATTAGATAAAATGGTAGAATTTCTTTAAAATATTTAAGTTAATTTTAGGGAAAACTCCAACATTCTTTAAAAACTATCAGTTCTTATCAGAAGTGAATTTATGTCCAGCTAAACTGGATCTCCTTTGAAAGCAGTATCTCAGCCATTCATGGTATATGCTGGTTTTATTGCCCTTGTCTCAATCTGTCTTTTATAGGTCTATGATGGGGAATGGAAGAGAGCCTGACCTCGTGCACCTGGAGGCAAGGACAGTGGATGGTCGTAAGTACATCAGCTTCCAATTACTGTGATATAACTGGGCTCTCCTCATATTCTTGTAACCATACAATACAACAACAGAAATCTCACTTCCTTTGGTGATTCACTTATTTAGTATGAGGAGTTTGGCTGTTCCAAGTCAGGTCTGTCAGAAGAGAAGCCTTTCCTGCAAGGCAGAAAGTTGGGTTAACCAGGCTGTGAAAGGAGCTGAGGACATGGTAAGGAAGGATAAGTGATAAGCAGTAACTCGAGTTACTACACACAACACTTTTATTTCTTCCTACGTGATTTTTGTTGATGGGAACATGACACTGAAGAGAAGTTCCTGGGTCTCAAAGTCTAGCTGCTGTTTGTTCACACAATACATAACATCACCTTGTTCATAGCTTTATGGTTTTAGTAGACCAGGAGAACTCTGCCTTAGGTACTACCTTTGAAAATACCTAATTAGAAACCTTTTAAGGACCAGTGTGAGTACATTCTTTACTGTTACTGCATGTCCTGTCACTGTCCTTCACTTTCATCAGCTCCATTTGCTCTCTGCTTTGCCTCTTGAGGTGGATTTGGTTTTTTTTTATTTTTCTGTTCCAGGAGCTTCCTTTACCTGCAACTCCAAAATATTCTCCTAATTGGCTGTAAATTCTCTCAGGCACCCTTAGCCACCTGCTGGCTTTTCTCCTCCCATCCAGGCTTTCTCAAGGTTTATCTTTGAGCTCCACTGCCTTTGCAGATCTTTCTCCATGGATTTCTTTTCCACAACATTGGATTGCCTGAGGCAGGCGTTACACTGAAAGCCCAGCTGCCAGAGATCTAGTAATTTTAATTCCATATTGTTTCCTCAGTAAATAGCAGCTCTTCTGCAACATAACAGGAAAGTTTTTACCATTTGCAATACAGAAGTATTAGTGATGCCTTCAATTAATTATTTTTTTAAAATGATAAAGTTCCCCCTTGAATTGCACCCCCAAATGGAGTGGTGCTACTTAAAATGTACATTTTGTCATTGGAAACTTAAAAAAAAAAATCTGAAAAGTTAATTGTAGGGTAATATGGTTTTTAACTTATGGAAATTTAGCTTGAAAGAGAATTTTTTGGATGATGAATTTTGAAAAGAAACAGTTGCGATAGAAACCATAAAGTTTTAAAGGTCTTTTCATTTCAAGATATGCAGGATTAGTGACAGTGAAAGAACGTACTATCTCTATTTCTTATAATTTGTGATCTATGATTATTATTTCTCCTCTCAATTTCGCTTACCTGATGTGGCAGCAAAGCTGGGAACATGAGGCTTTCTATTTCTTGGACCATGCTAAAAGGAAATAGTCTAACAGGACAGTGTTTATTTCAGCACAAAATACTCCTGTTAGAAGTCATTAAAAACTTGAGGTCATCGAGCTGAAGCACTCTAAGTGAGGTTGAAGGAGCTGTATTCTGGTCATGCATTTGAAGGACATTCAGCTCACAGGGGGCAGAGTAAGTGCCATGCTCCAAATGCCTTGAACAGTCTTGTTTGTGTTCTTAGGCTGAAATAAGAACGTTTTCCACAGCTATAGAAAATTTCTGCAAAACACTTCTTGGGTTCCCAGCAAATTAGCAAGCTCCATTATAGTTCTTAAAGTGGGAACTAAAAAGCAGGTAGACGAAGCTGGCTTGGCTGAGGAGTCAGGCATATTAGTAAAAAGAATATATTGAGGAATAACAAATTATTGCTCATCAACTCAACACCAGTTACAGATTCTGCACATTTACATTGGCTTAGTTGTGAGGCAGCACAACTGAAATTTTTCAGTTTATTCAGTGTGTAAAATATACTAAAACTAAACTATTAGAACTAAGAATATGAATGTATATCAGGGGTATCAGACCTCCAGCCAGTGATGACCTCTGCAAATCAGTCATTTGGATGAAACTTCTCTTAATGCCTCAGGACTCACCTCAGTGGCAATAAAAGAAAATATGTTGGATTTTCAGTAAGAGTGTGCTCTGTTTTGCCCCATGTTCCAAGGAGTGTTGGTCTCTACCTAGAAGACTCTGGTGGGTAGCTGGAAGCAGTAACCTTGGAACATATCACAGCATTCTTTGCCAGATATTTGGAAGATCTGCAGGTCACAGGATTTTAAGGCAAGACAGGCAAAGAGCATGCACGTGGTCCATTAGTGTAGTTACCATGAGCAATTTGGAATGTACAGGTCTCTTGGCTACTAGAGCTTTCTTCAAAGAACCAAATCAGTCTCCTTTTCCTGCACAAAATAATCATCACCCTCCAATGGATGAATAAACCTTTACCTCTGGAATGGAGCAGGTGTGTTTCTACCAGTGGGGTAATGGAGTGATGTGTGCTGAAGTAAGAAAAATAATTTATTCCAGACTGAGAGTAATCTGCAAATAATTTTGTCTGGGTTTTTATGGTTTCTTTTTTTAATATTCTTGCATTTATTTATTTATACTTTGTTTGGAATATCTCTTTTGAGAATTAACCAAGTGTAAAATTTCAATGAAGGGATTAAATTCGAGAAGGTAGATTTGCGAAAGCAAGGCAGAGAGAAAAAAGGAAAGAAAGGGGAGTAGTATGTAAACAACCACACAATCTGAAGTGGAAATATAACGGCTAAGCAAAAACCTGCTGAACTAAATATGGATAAGAAAAAACCCCTCATTTTTGTGCTGGTATCTTTTCCAGCAGAAGCTGAATAATGCAACCGTGTCTTTAGGTGAGAAGCAGAAATGTCAGCTAGGTACAGGGTCTCCCTGACTGAGTTGTATGAGAACATCTGTCAGTAACAACCTTAGGTCTGGGCTCTCCTTGCTAGAGCACCAGTAGCTCTAACTCTGCTCTCTGATTATGGTCTGTCTGTGCACTAAATTTATTGTGCTTATGAACATAATGCAAAAGGTGTTCAAGGACCAAAACAAGAGTTTCTCAGCAGGCATAAATCAGTGTAACTTCAGTGCTGTTGATTTACAACTAGCTAGCAATGTTGTTCCTGAGTGCATGTTCTCCCTACCTTTTTTTTCCTCTTGATATCCAGAAAAAAATGTGGACTTCCTCTGAACACACTGTGTCCCATCAAATTAGGCTGGAGGTAGTGATGAGCAAGCTGAGTAGAGCCTGCTCAATGTAGTTCTATAGGTGGAGACAGATTTGCAGGGCTAATTGCTGCCATTTATGTTTTTCATCCTGTTGTGTAAGTTTTGGAGAGCACCATGCAAATTTTCATCTTGTGGAATGTGAGGCTTTTGTTTATTTTTCAAAGGCTTCAGGCCCAATCCCTATAAATCTGGAGCATATTGGTAAAACTGATTTTTCTGGTTGGAAGAAGTTCATATGAATGTTATCTCACATTTCCATTTGTATGCTTGGGTGTCCCTGGTGTTTCGCTTTGATTTTGGAACAGGATCAAAGGCAAGCCAGCAAAGTCAGCAGGAATTGTGTTTTGTTTGATTGTTTGTTTGTTTGTTTGTTTTGTCTGGCTTCAGGGCAACACCCTAGGAAGACAATTAATCCCCTACAGTTCTTAATCACACAGCAATCTTCTCTTTGTTACATTTACCACCACAGCCAGCAGGTAGGGTGATGGTGGAAGCTACATCTAGGTTTGTTCAAATGCAACTTGAAGTGCTTTCAGAAGGTATAAACTTAATGACTGTGTGGGGTTCAGGCTTGTGAAGAATACACAAGAACCTAAAATTAACAGGCTTATCTCATTTGAGCTTGGTAGGGTTATCCCAGTAAGGCCTGATTCAAGCTAATTAAATGGGAGGTAAATTTTATTCAGGTGGTGCCTACTGAGGAATCCAGACTGTTGGTGCAAATTAGAAAGATGGATTCCTACAAGGCATTTGGAGACTAACTGGGTACCTGCTGGCCCTTCAGAGAATGGCAAAACTGACTCAGAGGACGTCTAAATGACAGTTTCTATAGACAGGAAAACAGTAAAACAACTATTACATTTATGAGCTATGCATTTGCTTTTGTAGATGATAAGTTTTTAAGTTTTTTTTTTTTAAGTGTGGATGAAAGAAGCTAAGGGGTTTTCTAATGTGCTGGCAGAAATTTAGAGAGCTCCTGATATTTAAAAAGTAGTTTTGTTTCCTTTGGTTTCCTTCTGCTGTCCTGATTTACACAGCAGTTTTTCCTGATGAAAGGTAATTTAGGTGCTGCTGTGATGCAGGTAGGACCAAAGTCTCATCTGGGGCTAGCAGGCATGTTCTGCTTGCTGATCCACAGGGACTGAGCATCTGGCCAATAGTGCCTGAATCACAAAGTTGCACGAGTACTTTAATTTCTGTTTTCACAGAAAATTGCTGGGCAGAATGAAATAATCACTGTTGTGGAAAAAATGCGTAGGCAACCTAGCCTGTCAGTCTTTTCCTAACATATCTACAGTGGTGAATTAATTCCCATGGTGCCCTAAACCTGTGCAGTGATTTTTTTTTTTTTGTTTTCCCTGATTGTGATTAGTGTTTTTTCCTTATTAGCATTTGTCCTGGAGAATGACATCTGTTAGTTTCTCTCATTATAGCTTTATGTCAGAAATGGCAGAGGATATACTTCCCTATGTAAAGAAAGATTTCTGATGCTGACATGCAATGAAGAAAGAGTAGCAGCAGGATAAAACCAGATTTGTGAGTAGTTAGTAAATGGGATGGTTTCGTTTCACTGATCTTCATTACTGGTTAATTGCTTTGCAGTTGCTGAGTCCTGGAGAGTTGTGAGCATATTCCCATACCATGCATGTTTCACAAATCAACATCCAGACCAGATGGAAATGGATAAAGAACAGTAATTTTGTGTGTTTCTCAAAAAAAAGGATTAAAGTATGGGAGAACATTTAATTCAACTGTGGAATTCATTGCCATGGGAGGTTGTGAATGCTGAAGGTGTACCTGCTCTGCTAAGGCAACCTAGACTTGTGTTATTTGTCACTGAGGAAGGAGGTTACAGGCTTGGGTCTCTCAGTGATGTATGTCACTGCCATGTTCTTATGGGGTCATTACTTACAGGATGCCAGTCATGCTTCAAAAGCAGAAACTGTCCCTAATGTCTAAGTTGCTCAGCAATGAACTGGGATGCTCCACAGAAAATCTGTGAGAGAAACAGATCATTGATTCCATTGTATAAAACTCCCGATTTGTCCCCAGTGGGTTTATTGATACAGGAAAAGACACATTCCTCAATGAACTAATGACAGGAAAAATATAAGTTATACATCTGCAGAGTACAATGACCATTTTCTCTGACTCTCCCTACGATCAAATAAGGTTTTGAGAAGACATACATGCAAGCATACACTAGGAAGCAGTGGATATTAAGGTTTGATATTTCATCCAAAAAAAGCACTTGTCAGCATAATGTCCTGAAGGAAGCCCCACTGCTTTAGGAAGGGATCTAAAAGTCTCCTGTTTACTTTTGCAGAGGCCAGCCAGCCTCCAGTAATCACCAATAACCTTCCTTCTCCACCAGCTGAACCAAGAGATGTCTCTGGGAGGGCTTGGATCCATTGGCATTGAGAACACACGAGCATGGAGCTCAAGCTAAATGGATAAGACTAAAATATTTCATGGCACAGGGTCCCCCGGCTCTTAAGTTTTTCTGTGTTAGCTTTTGCAATTCTCTTTCACCACTGAAACAGATTAATTTTGTCAGAGGTTTCCCTTACAAGATGTCTCCTCCGTTCTTGTGTTCTGTGACTTTCCTTGCTTCCTCTTCAGAAATAGCTGCCATTCCCTGAGAAGATTCCTACTCTGAGTGTCTAAACCTGTCAAAAATGAAAGTATCTGGGGGTGTAAGAGCTGGGAGTTGCTATGTTCTTCTCTCCAGGCACAGTGTGACTTTGTTGTTGTATATTAAAAACAGCAGCTGTTCTTGGAGGTGAGGGTTCTGGAAATGAAAAGCATAATGTCCTAATTACCTATGGCAGGGAAAACATCTGTGCAGGAAAACTAATGAAATTAATTCCAGAGCTTAGCAACTGAATACATTAATTGACATTAATTAATGCTAAATTGCAAACCTTTGCCAGTGGAGTCACATAAAATGTCTGTGAGAATGAAATGAAAAAAAAAATCCTTGAGTTAATGTGAACACAGAAAATCTTCCCCTAGGAAAAAAGTGAACTGCAAGAAGCCTGTTTTTCCTTCTTTCTGTCTCCTGTAGCAAAAGGAGCTTTTCTTGTTGTGCACATCTCAGTGTTTGGCTGTTTGGGAGATTAGCTTAAGCAATTTCAGTGCTCTGCCCTTTAGTAGTATTTCTGGCATTTTAGAATTGAACCCATGGAGAATTGCATTGTAAAAGTTCGTAGGCATTGTCTTAGTAAATCTTCACTGGTGATTCAATCACTGCTGCACAGACTCCTGAGATCACAGCAGAAATAGGGATAGTCCCCATTCCTCCATTGAAGCAGAATCCAAAGAACCTCATCTCCTCTAATGGATGTCAACCTGGCCTGCTCTTTAAAATCTCTTGTGGAGGAGATTCCTTAATCCCCCAGTCTTTTCAACAGCTCAGGTGGCAGTAGAACCATTTCAACTGAGGCTGCTTTGCTGAAGCTCAGGATTGGCACTCATTTCACTCAGGAACTTTGTTGTGACAGAGTGAGAGACCCCTCTTGGAATTCTGTCTCCAGCTCTGGAGCCCTCAGCACAGGAAAGCTGTGGACGTGTTGGAGCAAGTCCAGAGGAGGCCACAAAGATGATCACAGGGATGAAACACATCTCCCTTGAAGGCTTGCTCAGCCTGGAGAAGAGAAGGCTCCTGGTGGACCTTATTGTGACCTTTACAGTCTTAGGACAAGGAGGGGACATGCTGCACCACACAGCACTGTTGGGTGGTGGCAGAGACTCCCTGTCCCCCTCTTTCCTGGGTGCAGAGGGACAGAGGGCTGAACAGCTCTGAAAGGGAACTTTCCTGAGCTCACATGAATGAGCAGGCTGGGAATTACGTCGTTCCCTGCCCTCTCGTGGCTAATGTGGAAAAAATCATGTCCATCTGAAGGGAAATACATTTTGATCATGCTGCCCAGGCTGTATTCATTAATGTTTTGCAGTGAGCTGCAAAAGCATAAAATGTTATAAAGGCAGCCACTAATAATACTTAGCACTTTATATATGCCAAGAACCCTGCAAATGCTGGAGGAAAATCATCCCTCATTGAAGTTTCCTGAAGGTTCGTTACCCTGCATGCCTGTTTCAAGCAGAAGTCAACAGCCCTTAGAAGCAAGGAAAGAAATGTCAAATGATAGATTTTAATTAAAACCAAGATTAAATACAAGATGGTAAAGTTCCAGCCATTTCTATTTCAATGTAAGATGCCATTTCTCTGATCTGAAGGTGGTAACTATATCATACAAGGTGTCTCTCCAAGGAAAATTATTAGAAGTACTTCTAACATTAAATGCAATGTAGTGTTTCTATCATGTAAGTACTAATGTTAAAAAGCCAGAATTGTTCCTTGTGTGGATTAGGTTTGTCATAAAACAAAATAAAAATTTGTAATGAATCTGGAAGAGTCCAAACAGATTACTGAGAATCTGGTTCTGTATTCTAGGATAAATTGTCCCCATGAAGAAATTCTAATTCTTTTTCTTCAGGTGACACATTATGAGATGAGCACCTTGCAGTGCTTCAGAACAGGAGGAGAGGACAGGCCATGTGGTGACAGTGGATGAGATGGCTTGCATGGCTGCGAGATGGATGGCTGCATTTAGCCTATTTAATTTCAAACTGCTAAGACTTCTAGTTACAAGAGAGTGTGGAATGATTGCCCAGGTCTGCCAGAGTGCATCTACCTATGTTGTCAACAGAGAAGTAGGTAAAACCCTTGAAGAGGAGTTGGTCTGAGGGTGCTTTCTAAGTCGATCTGAATTACTCTACAGAATGTAAGTGTTATAGGAAATACAGAGATGCATCATAGAAGGTGCTCCCTTGGTAAAAATGTATAACTCTGACATGTGATCTAGAGCAGAACAAAAGAAATAATGGGAGGTTGAGGCAGGTAAAGAAGGAAGGATATTAAAGGAAGAAAGTAATCCAGGGTGGATTTACAAAGGATGCAGGGGAAAGAAGTGTTGTGTAGTGTTGAATAGATGGTCTCAATTCACTGCACATGAATCTGGGAAGCAAAAGTGCCACCTCAGCAAGCAGCTTTATGACAGTAGGAAGAATCTGTGCTCAGGATCTCAAGTGTATTGTTTTTGTTCTTTTCCTTTCAGATGCCCAATACATCACCTGCAAGATGCAGAACTGCAGTGAAGCCACTCGCAGCAAACCCTTTCCAGGCTACATTGACCATAACTCCCTGATCGTCCAGGGTGATTATGTCTTTGTTCAGGTGCAGAACACCCTCTTCTCCTATTCATTCTATTACTTTATATTATATTATTCTATCTTCTATTATTTTTCTCTTGCATTCCTTTGCATGTGTGTGCATGTGTGTTATTTGCAACTGCTCAGACAACACTGGATCCATAAAGGCACTGAATGGGTTTGTTACAATGCTAACTGTGTTCCTTTAAGCTCTAGTTTCTTGTCACTGTAGGGCCATAGAGTTCCTGCCTGAGGTATGTTCTCTGTGTGCTGGAGAGCTCTGTGCCACTCCTTGCAATCTCATCAGCACTCTGGAATTACTGCTTTAACCCCCCAGCTGGAAGTGCTGTGTCACTCATCTGCTATTACAAGGAAGTAGACCAAAGTTTTTTTGAGTATGAGAGGGAAATAAGAAAGAAGGGAGGGAGTCAGGGAAAGCACCAAAGGAGTAATCAGGCTTTATTGTTATGCCTCAGTTGTGATTATAGTGAAAAGGCAGAAGATGGGATGTACTCAGCCAGGCTGTGTTCCAGGTGAGAGCTGGTGAATAGATTTGAACCACTGTGGGTTTCATTAGGCTTCTGCCAGTGTCCATTTAATGTCAGCTGAAGAGGAGGAAAATAACAACAGAATTGTAGGGAATGTGGAGGTGAACTGGAGATCATTAGCACTAAACTGGGCTTCCAGACAGTTTCTATTTTAGCATGCTTGTGAGTGGAGGGAACAGAGAGGATTGATATTTTACATTGTGTAAGCTGATTGCTAATTGGCTTCAGTTAATGAACTCAGTTTTAAACACCAGTCTAAATAATCCACAAATAAATCTGGGACATAAGCTTTAGAACAGCTTTTGTGCCTAGTGTGTCTGAGGCAAAAAGGAAATGTTTATGTGGCAGGGAAAACAGGGGCGTGCGTCACTGTGCAGCCACACTGATTCCAGAATGACTCTGTGTTTGTGGCTCAGCTGACACAGGAGCTGGAGTGTTTCTCTTCAGCCATCCTGGCTGAGCTGGATCTGGTGTTATCCCTTCTGCTCTTCAGAGGAGGATTAACCCTATGGCTGTGTATGCTTGGAGGAGTAGATGAACAGCCTCCTTCTACCTTTCCTTCCTTCCTTCATCCCCATCTGGCTTTTCTGCAGCTAAGCCATTTGGAATGCGTTAGTAGGCTTAAAAGCACTACGATAAAGGAATGGGAGTTTATTTTCCTTTTAAACTTGTTTTATTTACAAATTCACACTTTCTCATTAAATATATTTCTGGCCTGCCCTTCCCCTAACTTTTGCCCGGTTCCCTTAAAAAAAAATGTTGAAGAGCTTTAGAATGAGAAATAGTGCTTATTTTACTTAATCTGCTATGAACCTGGCCTCTGTGTATCTTGCATTTTAAACTACTACAGTGCATTTTAAAACACTTACTACTAAAGAAAATTCTTGATGAGCTCAGGTATCAAGCAATTAAAGCAAAGTTCTGCACGGAGAGTCCCTTGGAATATTTGTTCTTCAGTATCTTTCATCCAAGGATTTCAAAGTACTTTACAAACATTGATTATACTTCAGCAGCACTGGAAGTCAGATAAAATTGACAGCTTTTTTCTTTCTTTTCCCCTCCTTTAATAGGTGGTAGAAAATGATACCTCACATTGCTCTAACCCAGCATTTTCAAGGTCTGCAGTCAGTATTTATGCACTTAAATAAAAGGCCAGATTCACAAAAATGCCAAATCGACTGAGCTTCTCCTGCCCTCCATACCTGTGAATATTTAGCTGATCTTGTAGCAGATATCTATGATGCCTTGTCCAGGGCCACACAGGAACCAAAGCTGGAAGCAGAAATAAAAATCAAGCCTCATGTCTGCCAATCTGCTGGTCTAATCAACAGCCTACAGGGCAGCTCTGCAGAGAGCAAAGAGCAGAGAGTGTGCTGGTAAGGCACAGGAGAGCTGTGGTATCAGGAGGTGATATCATGGCCCAACTGAAGTCGAGACTTCACTATTCACAAGTTTTCACACAAGATTCTAGCTTTGCCTCTCCTTGCTGAAAATGGGATTCCTATTGTTTTCTTTTTCAGGCACTGTCAGTTGGATCAATGTTTATTCCTCAGCTGTAACAGCACTGCAGTTTAAGTCATTGCCACCACACTGTGGTATTTCTCTTAACAGCTTTTGTTTGATACTCTTTCTCATAATTAAAAAAAAAAAAGAAAAACCTGATGCTGATAACTTTCCTGCTTCTCTTGCAGCTGACATCAGGAGGAAGACCACATTATTACGTTTCTTATAGGAGGAGCCCATTTGCACAGATGAAGCTGCCAAAGTACTCCTTGCCCAAGGTAGGTTGCTGCTGCTAGAATGCCCATATGAGCCTAGAGGTATTTTGATTGCACAGAAGATCTTGAGTCCAACACAAGTAACTACAAGATGACATGCAGTGAGTGAAAACAGTATTCTTCTTTAACAGAACATTTGCAAGCAAGAAAGGACTAAAACCAAAAGTCAGCACTTTGGCTAGTCAAGGACATGAGCATGAAATGTAGACAGATACCACAGCCCACATCAATGATCATTTCTTTATGGTTAATTAATTCAGTTTTGGAGGGTATTCTTTTTTTTTTTTTTTTTTAATTCCCCTCTCCTCTCGCTGTCTTGTATGGCTTGCTTTTTGTGCTTTGCCTCATTAGTAGATTTTAATGGGAACCAAGCAGAAAGATGTCTTTGTGTGCCTACTCTGTCTCTGGCCTAATTAACAATGGTGAATTAGCACTGGAGCTTGAAAGGATATTTCTGCCTTCTGAAGCTGAATTTTTTGAAAGACCTATATAAAATGTTAGCTCCATTTTGAAAAAACCACCAATTTGCAACTGGGGTCCTAATGGATTCCTAACAAAGACCAAGGACTCTTTTTTTTGGCCTTTTCATTCTTGATATAGTCTGTCTTAAATGAGATTTAAGCTGAGAGGTAGCAAATGATCTTATGGATTCTATATGAGGTCTAACATCAGAAGACAAATGCATTCCCAGAAGCTAAGCAGAGATTGTTAAAAGGAAAAAAAAGAAAGTGCAAGGTCAGATTTTGTAGGTGAAAATGTTCAAAGGGGTAAGTGGTTAATTTCAGAGCTGGCTCTCTTGGATTCCTCAACCCAACAGAGCTGTTTGTAGTGGATTGACTGGGTGACCTTCATATGAAGAGACTGCAGCTCAACCCCAGCCCTTCAGTGCCTCACCCTCCCTGCAGTGCTGCTGGACCTGTGCTCCTGCTCACAGCTCTGGAAACCAGCTTGCAGGACAGTGAGGACCAACCAGCAGCCATGAGATCTTAGCTCTGACACAGGAGACTGAGATCTGCCTCAAAAATTTAGTCACATTTTGAGATAGGTTGCTTTGAAACTTCCTGCCCAAGCAAGAGAAATTACTCTGTAAATTCAGATCAGATTTAAATAGGTGTTATTTGAAAGAGCCCTTAGCAACGGAGTTGCATTTTAGCATGGTTATTGTAAAAGCCAAATAAAAATTGTTATTTACAGCCCATTCAGACCATCTGTAGAGACACTTTTTGCTTTAAAGTTATTGTTTCCTTTAGCCCACACTTATTTTTTGTCCACCGTCTCAAAGAGATCGCTGGAGAGCCAGAGAAAATGCGCTAGAATTAAATTACAATGTGTTCCAGAGAACAAGAATTGGAGCAATATATTCATGTTATTTGACCCAAAGATGCTTTGTCACAATCTCAGAATATCTTCAAAGTCTGAAGAGCTGCATTTGGCTTGGAAGGAGCTACAGTGGAAGGAGGCTGCTATCAAAGCAAAATAGTCACTTTTATGAAAAATGCACAGAGTGTTATATTATTCAAGGAATTGGAACGTACAGCTTCTTTTATGCCCAAATTCTCTTTTATCTCCTTCAGCTAAGAAAGAGGGGCCAAATATGGCAAACATTACTAAGTGACTTCTGGAATTGAAGATGGAAATATCAAGCTTTTTGTCTGTGAGTGTCACTCTTCCTAAACTGGAGGCGTGTGACAGCAGGCAGCCTTGGCAGGTGATGCTGCTGCTCAGGCAGAATGGCCTACAGCAAATCAAACTAAAATATTATTCTTCTTCACATTAACAGCCTTGTAGCTACTTTGATTAAAAACCTAAATAAACTTGAAACTCTGTTCCATTCAAGCAGACGCCTGCATACAGTTTGTGTTAACCCTGTAAATAGTCTTTATTGAGACCTCTTAATCAAAGCACCACAGTGTGGGCTTTGTCACACACTGTAATGTCACTCATGATAATCACCTGAAATGTACATACAGCGTGCATTTACTCCAGTTTAGACCAATGCACTTGGCAGACATTTGAGAATACTGAAGCAAGTCAAGCAATTTCTCTTTTAAAAAAACCTGTCTTAACTGGTGTTGGGTTGAATAGTGATGGGATGGGTGCATATGGTACTTCTGTTTTAAATTCATCACCTGCTTTCAACCTTAGGATGGACATCCTGATGGAAGAAGCAATAACAAAAATAAATAAGATCCTTAAATAAAGACCTTGAAAGAGCTGACAGCCCCAGTAATTTCAGAGAAAGCAAAGGAAAGACCAGGCATCTTCACAGACATTTCCCAGAATATTCTGAGTTGTAAGGGACTCACAAGGATTATCAGGTTCAACTCTTAAGTGAAGGGCCCATGTGGGGATTGATCCCACAACCTTGTTGTTTTTAGCCCCATGCTCTGACCAACTAATCTGGCAGAATAAAACTGGCATCCTTACTATTTAACTTGCCAGGAAAAATGTTGTTCACTGACCAAAGGCAAAAAGGGCAATTGTTTAGTAATTCAGAAAGCTTTGGCTTTTAGGAATTTGAGGAGACACGTGATCAAACTCATGTACAGCTTCATGTTACTTTAGTCTTTGAAAAGGCAAAGGGACAGGTAGTAGAACTGCATATTAATGTACTTGCAGTATGTTCTGGAACAAAGACAAAAATGCTCAGGCTCTCAGTAGACAAAAGCAAGGGGAGCCCCTGAAGGTGATGATGACTGTTTGAGAAAGGTGCCTTGCTTCACATTCCTGTCTTCTTCCATCTCTGTAAGGAGCTTATGCTCTATCAAGATGAAGGCTGTCTTTTTGTATTATTCCTCCCCCCCAAGGAATTAATATCCGCCCTGAAAAAAACCAACATAATATGAAACATAATATGATATGCTGATAAATTTTAATTTTCTCATTGTGGAAATGAAGAAATTCGTGATGCTGGTCCAAGATCTGTTTGATGCCCATACACTAATCCTTTTCTATCAAAGCTGTGCATCATTGCTGTATGTATTGGACAAGACCATATTAAGAGGGAGTTGATTTATCCCCAAAGGCACAGTTGGAATCCTATATTTTTTTACTTTCTGCATTACATATATTATGCCAATTCTATCTCAATTTCTGCTTCTCTAGGCTTAAATTCTTTCAGCCTTACTGGAATCTTCTTTAGACTTCCATCTTCCAGCATGATCAAATGCAGGAAGCATCTATTCAATAAATTAACTTGTTTGCTTCTTCACCATTTGTGAAATTGCCTTTTGTTTTCTCTGGTGTTGATCAAAGCATATTTTAACCCTCTCCCCCAGTTTTTACAAAACTATTGAACGAAATGGTAAGATAATGAAAAAGTACATTCACCAGACAAACCAAGTTTCACTTATAATTTCTGCCTGTGTTTAAATGGAGAGGCCTTCCCCTGTGTCCCATATGCAGAAATTAACACTTGAGATTAGAGCTGTGCTAGCCAATGTTGCCTGGAGCACACTGGGAACACCTGCTGATGTAGATCTACCAGCAGACTGAACCAGGGTGACAGTCTGACAAGAGGAGCCACAGACAAGCAGCTGTGGCTGTAACTCCTACTGGCACAGCTGGAGCTGAGAGAGGATGTCTGCTCACAGCCAAAATTAGTAGGACTCAGTGGGACTTATATTACTTTTCCTATTGCCTTGGGAATTAAGCCAATCTGTTCCTTCACAAAACGAGCCCATCTTCTGGGACATGATTTTCTCCAGTGCAAAGAAGGAAGTAAATCAAGTGTGCATTCATCCACTCTATATTCAGATCCGGATCTGGATGAGCAAGCAACTGTTCTGAATCTTAACTCCATGGTGAATCCACTTTCAAATTTATAGATCAAATTTCTTCGTTATATTACTTTTTTATTTTTACATTACAAGGCTTCATCTGGAAGTATTAATCCTCCCTAAAAAGCCACCAGACACTGAATTTTCAAAGACTATTATTAGCAGAAGGGAGAAGTAGCATCAGCTTCCAAAGAGTATATTTTCTGATAAAGTTCTGTTTTGCATATAGAAAGTCCTGTCTGAGATTCATGGAAGTAAAATAACTTTGGGATATCTGCCCAAAGCAGACCAAACAGCTGAGTCTTTTGAGAATCACCTGGTGCTAAGAAATCTTCATTTCTTTTCCTACCTCCACAGATTTTTATGGCACCAAAGAACTCAGGGTGCCTGTGCTGGGCAGATAGAGCCTGGGAATTTCATTATAACAATCTCTCTCTTGGTGGCTTTTTCCATTGTAATGGAAAATAAAATAAAATGGGTAATAATTTCTCCAAGCATTGAAAGATGGGATCAGGTTCAATAGTTCCTCTTTTTCTTTACTTATGCAATTTTTTCATTGCTTCCTGCCTGCTGTAACACAGAAAAGAAACAGAGTAAAACAAAACCTCACTCATAATGCTAGTGCTATAAATACATTTCTGTTCTTTGTATCTAGTGAGGATTAGGGTTGTTTTTCTATTTTATTTCTTGGGGTGTGCTGTTTAGTATAGTGATCCAGGGTCTTGGCTCCAGCCCACATTGTCATTAGAAACAGTAGGTAACAGCAGATGTTCCCTCATTAGTTCCTGCTTGTGTCAGGTCCTGAGTATATTTGGCTTCTGAAAGCTGGGCAAGAAGCAGATGTTTCAGATGATTTTTTTTAAACCCCTGCATTTTTAATATCTGTGATTCCATAGTCATGAGTGGAATCACTCAGATGCTGGATGGAAAAAGGAAAAAAAACCCAAAAACCAAACATCTCTCCCTATTCCCCAGACAAAACATTCATTAAAATGAAAGTGTTGGTAAGGGGAGTGAAAGTGCTGCTGTATAACAGTGTAGTGCCAATGTAAATGTTCAATTAACACCTCATCAGTTAATTACTGCTTTGAAAAATTGGCAGAGGAGAGCTGGTGTAAAATATTCCTGGATGGAATTTCCTGTTTACAGTGGCTGTAGAGAATACAATAATAAAATGCAGCAGTATTGTCTACTGAGTTCCCTGTTAAACTCCAGCCTAAATATATCCCTTGCTGCTCCCCAGTTACTTTGGTGCCATTGGAAATGGCAGCACAGAGGTGCCTCGAGTAACCTGCCTCTCTTTTCCTTCCCCAGGACATGCATGTCATCAGCACAGATGAGAATCAGGTGTTTGCAGCTGTACAAGAGTGGAACCAGAACGACACATACAATCTGTACATCTCCGACACCCGAGGGATCTACTTCACCCTGGCCTTGGAAAATGTCAAGAGTAGCCAAGGGCTGGAGGGGAATGTGATGATTGACCTCTATGAGGTATGTCATAACTCCAAACATCTCATTGCTGTCTCAGGAGCTCACATGATGCCAGAACCATTTCCTCCTTGCACATCAGTCTCGTAAAATGCATGTGAACAGCAAAGCCAGCAAATGACTAAACACGGAGTTTCACCCTTCCTAGATTTACTGCTGTATTCACCAGTAGGTTCTCAGGTGAGGAACAGCTCATGGCTCTTTGATGCATAGGTAAAAGTTGTGGAATAGTTCATTCAGTTGCTAAGAGGAGCTCTGTCTGTCTGCCAAAATCCTGCTTGGACCCATTTCGGCTCTATGGCTCTGAAAGCTCCCAACAGTCTCAATAGTATCATTCTCCAATTTTTGTTGCATTTCTGGCAATCTAATCTCTTGTTTTAGAAGTTAAGGAGAGACTGCAGTTTTCAGCTGTCCTTATCACCTTTCTCAGCTTGAGCTATTCTGGGAACTTAAGTGGTTATAGATATGTCCTTTTGGGCTATCTCATGAGCATGGAAACTCTCATACCTCATTTTGGTGCCCCCTTTACCCTGAGCCTTTTTCTGAACAAGTGTGCTCTGCATAAGCTCACAGTAAAAAGGCCAATTTGCATTGTCTTCTATGACAACTGATCCTAAGAGTAAGAGTTCTAATACGCCTTTGTCCATCTCTTGCTCTGCTGCCTGTTTTCCCTCTGGAGACAAGCACTCAGCTGAGGAGAAATTTAATCCTCAGCTGCCGTTCTGAGGGTCAGGTTCTGTTTTCAGGTCTCCTCCAGGGTATTTTCTGACCATTTAGAATAAAGGTCATAAAGTAGATCTGAGTGCCTTTGAAGATGAGGGTTCTGCCCATATTTCCCCATCACTGTCTCAATATTAGCTCTGCTCTGTAGTTTTCCTTCAGCTGCCCTCTACTTGTCCAGAGAGCCCAAGAGTTATACAGCAGTGCAGATGGACCAGAGAGGATGGGCACTGCCATTTCAGTCATGTGGACATTTTTTACCATTAATCTATCCACAGTGCTGGCAGCCCATAGAAAAGCTGTTGCCTCTTATTACTGTCAGCTGGGGAAGCAGCTTTGCTGCATTATGTAAAGGTGTCCTACATCCCAGGGGTAAAGAAAATCTTTTGTTTTGTTTTATTCATCTGACACCACACAGCAACCTGGATTGAAATTGATGCAATCAGACTTAGAGCATCATAACTGCTGATCTTCTAGATAGAAGGAATATTGGCTGACATGGAACCTGGCACAAACCTTCCTTTCAGTTTGATGTTCTTGCTGGAAGGGAACAGCCAGCCAGCCACCATGGTTCTCTGAGTCAGATTGCTATAGTGATCTAGGGGAAAATGGAGAGGAAGGCAAGAGAAGGAAAAAAAAATTCCATAGATAAATTAAAAGTAAGTGGAGAGATTGCCAAACAAGTCGTTCTCTGGTGGCAGCAGTATATTTTAAAAAGCATCATTATTGGAGAAGATGCCAGAGAAAGGCCTGTTTATTGCAGGTGTCTGTGTACATGTTTGTCAGATGTTAGAAGTAAGTTTTTCTGGTTGCATTACAGTGAACATGTTTCTGTGTGCAATTCCTAAATTGATTCTAAGTCAAGGGTAAATCTACTCAATGCTGCTGAGTAGGGAATTGCACTGGGTACAAAGAGAAATAAAACTTTCATGGTGTCTCCTTGAGCTCACAAGAAGGCTGTCCTATTGCCCACCTCCTAAATTGAGGGAAGAGCTGGATCACTGACCACTGTGCCTGAGTGCCCTCTCTGGTTCCTGTGTCTGCCCAGTGATGCAATATGGCTCTGTTGGAATGGTCCACAGCAAGACAGTCCTGCCTGTGGCAATCCATGACTGAAGTGATAACAGACTGTGAGGAGGTGTGTCTATAGCTGTGCTATGTATGCCTGTCACTCTGGAACTTATTTTTTCTAGCAGTATGTATGTTGGCTGAGAAGTATGTTTGATGTATGGTGATGGGGAGTGAAAAATGTCTTTAGAGTTGTGTGTTCAAGTGTCCTGTATGGATTTTTCTGAAGCTGTAGACAGCATTAGTATCTGCACACAGTGCATTCAGGGTGGTGAGGATTCTGCAATTCCTGTGTGGGAGCTGATGGAGTGCTTTCCTCTCTGACCACTGGTAGTCATGCACTTGCTTGCCTGGGTCTTTCTCTGTAATGACTGTGTGAGCAGCAGGGCTGAGCAGCTCCCTGTGTGTGTCAGGGTTGTGTATATGCAGTTGGTCTGTCTCTTCTGAGAGTACACAAGCCTCTGTGTGCAGTCTTTTTTTAAGATAAAGCTGTCCAAGACTGACAGAATAACTTTGCTTTCTCAGGAAAGGATTTTGAGTCCCAGCCCATGACTAGAATCATAAAAAGAAAAGAAAAATCAGGATTTCAGAACGCTTTTATTGCCTGATATATAAAATGCTCTTTAATCATTTATGGCCAGCGTTTCACAGGGACTATATAATAGAGCAATTTTGGGACAGCAACAAAGCAAAGTACAATTGCAACTATAGGCTCTAGCCCCTGGTAGTAAAGGCAGAACTGTGTTATTTTTCCATCCCTTTCTATTCATGCAATATCACAGGAGTGATACAGGAGCACCCTTGTCTTTTCAGGGTGCCTTTCTACTACAACAAAGAAATCTTGAATAATTAGTTGGGTAGGATCAAATAATCCAGCTGGGAAATTGAAAAGGTTATCCTTTTTCTGCTGGTATCAACAATGAATTAGTTAACTATTTAATTTAAAGACTATTGCCCTTTATAGCATGCCATGTCAAAGTCTTTTTGAACTTCAAATGAAATTCAGGAAGGTGCCATTTGAATGACTAAATACATCACCGTGCTGTACCAAAGCACTGTACACAGGTAGTCTTACAGCACATAATTAAAAGTGCAATAAGGTCATATCCACTGGTAGCTGTAGCATCCAAATCCAGCCACATAATTAATGGGTTGAGCTGGAAAAAGCTCTGAATCTGCTGTATAACTGTTTGCCATGCCATGTCATTTAATCTCTGTGAATATAAACTCTTGATGTATGATTCTGCCTGCTAATTCTACATCATAAGCAGGGGTGAGGTGGATGACTGAACAGACTTGCTGGAAAGCAAAAAGTTTCTCACTTTCCCCCTCCTTCTCCTGATTTCACTTCCCTTTTTATTGTGGCACTCAGATTACAGAATGACAGCCTAACAAATTAATTCTTGAGCTGCAGCAGCTATTGGGCTATTGATTTTCAGTGTGCTGAGAAGATGGGAACATTCTGCAGTGTGAGTTGTGGTTTGAGGTTGACTTTTTTTTTTCTCCTCACTAAGATACTTTTAGGCTTGATTCCAGTGTGAATCTGTTAGCGTCATGTCTTTGCAAAATCCTCCTGCAGGTCTGTGGATTTAAACTGTTGGGTAAAACACCAGGAAAAAGTAGAAGGATGAAGACCTCATTTCCAGCTCTGTAACAGTAACTAGAGTTCTATATGGCCTTGCTTGAGTCACCAGTGGTTCGTTTTCCTCAAAATACAAAACCGTAATAAATATTTCTCTGTGGCCCTAGTTATCTGTTGAAACACTGATAATGATGAAACACATTGAGATCCTTAGATGAAATGTCTGAAGAAGGCTGGATGAGAGTAGAAACATTGAACTGCAAGTTTATGTGTGTGTGTGTTGCTGTTTTCTTCACAAGGTCAAAATTGCTGCTGCTTCCTGCTGCTGCTGTGCAAGAGAAAAATAATTGCCTGTATATGTTTCATCTTTCAGGGGGAAGGATGCCTATACATTTGAGAGGTTGTCACTTTACAGATAATGCTACTGACATCTTGCCATGTTCCCATGATGATTCTGAAATACAATATTTCTTTCCCATTTGTCATCTTTACACCTGTGATGGCTTTATCTTTTCCCCAGCACCCTAGCTGGCTTTGATGTACATTGGCAATTCTGGCCCTGACACTGACCACACTGACAGAGCCATCAGAGCCCTGCTGGGTTTGACAGAGAAAAAGGGACATGCACAGAACCTGCATGGACTTGATCTATTTTTCAGCCATGTCAATTTTTCCTAGGTAGCAGGGATAAAGGGAATGTTCTTGGCTAACAAGAAGATTGACAACCAAGTGAAAACTTTCATCACCTACAATAAGGGGAGAGACTGGAGTTTGTTGCAGGCTCCACACACGGACCTGAGAGGAAATCCCATTCACTGTCTCCTAGTAAGTACCTGAGGGGGGAACTTGGGGGTGCTAATACCCCAGAACAATCCTTTTTCTACCAGATAAAATGACAAAAAGAGGGCAGCTCCCCTCTCTTTGCAGTGTATCTCATAGAGTGCAGTGCTTCAGGCTTGGGCTGCCAGGGGTTATTGCATTATAATTTAGGTTAATTTAATTTGATTTCTGTGAGCATTGTGGATCAGCTGCCTTCTGCAGAAGTGCTGTGTCCCCTGCAAGAGCAGGGGAAGCTGGATGCTGTGTCTGGCAGTCAGTTTTCTGGACACTAGATGGGAGGAGAGAGCTGCTGTAGCTCAGAAATCTAAGACACAGTAACTGGAAACAGGCTCAAAGGAAAAGAGAGCTCAGATTGCTTTCAGGCTGCTCTGTTGGCATTAATATTTATTAACATTCATCATTTTCTCTTTGAGCTCAGAAGTGTGAATCGACACATTCATCCAAATATATGTGCAGCTTTGTGTTGGTGTAAATTGTATCTATCTATGTACTTATTGATATAGATCCACATATAGCTAAGTCTTTAATCATCATTATATGCAAACAGTTTCCAAGAGGGAAAGTGAAATATAAGTAATGTGAATAGAATTGGAGATCTCTACAAAATTAGAGAGCTTAAACTGATCTTGACATATTTTTCAGCTGATACAATCTATTCACAGTAGTGGGATAATACTCAGAACCCCTGTATTTGGGATTCCAAATAACTTTAATATTATACTAATTCTAATATGGGTCCAGGCAGAATCAGGGACACTGTTTAGATTGTTCTTACTGCTGTTGTCCTGCATGTTGTTTTTCATCTAAAAAAAAAAAAAAATAAAAAGTTTATCATTTTGAGGCATTAGAATCTGAATCATTATATTTTGTAGCTGAATGCTACACTAATCTCTTAACTGAATGTCTTGCACTATTGCAAGAGCAAAGAATAAATATTTGAAGCTGTTCAAATAATTGATTTTTTTGATTGACCAAAATGCAAGCCCTTTATTTTCTGTCCAGTTTGGAAAAAATAAATAGGAAAGACTAGGGGTAAGACAGAAGAGTTACTTCAGAGCATGACTAAATTTGTTTGGGTTTGTTTTCTTCTTTCAAATTTTTAAAAATTGTAACTAAGTGATTTTTAAATTAGATGTCTCTATGAGGTGAAAACCAAAACAGATGACATGCAAAAAACTTTGCAGGCATAAAGCAATTCAGTTCTTTTGAAGGGACTATGTAAAGAAGCCTTTATGTTTCAAGTAGATTATATAATCTAGTTTTAACAAGGGAACATAATAAAAAAATGACATCTTGGCCTTTTCAAATTATAACAAATTTTATCAGAAACTGAAGATTTTTATTATATGATATGATAGTATAATATTCTAGGGGACTGGCAAAGCAGAAGAACAAAAAAAAAAAACACATAGGCAAATAAAATAATAAAAGTAGACTTTATTTTTTTCCCATCAACTTGAAGTTAGAGTTCTGAGAGGTCTTTCCTGGTGTTTCTGTGCACTGATCATGCAAAGTCTGACTTGCCACTCTGGTTATAAGCGAGCCTTATGTGTGGCCCTTATGGAACACTTGTTTGCAGGAATTGGGTATTTTTTATACAAGGCTATACCTGCCACTGTAGTTGTCCATTATATAATGGAAGCAGTCATATATCTGTGTGTGAAACAGAAATGGACAGTTCTTATGGGGGGAGAGTTATGGCTCCCTTTAAGCCTTCTCATCTATACTGTATCTGCTACTATATCCATGGGCACCAGAAAATGCAATAAAACCCCATTTAAAATTAGACCAGATATGCCTGAACAAGCTGGATTCCCTCGAGGGTGATAAATTTGAACAAGCCGGACAAAGGGTCAAGAGGAGGAGCAGAAGTGTGGGGGCTTGTAAGGACACAGTGAGAACTGACCTAGAGAAGCTCATGGTTCTCTGAGGATTGCATTTACATCCTTGGAGCTCCACTGTGCATAAGCCACTATTTAAACATTAGTTTGTTTTTGTTTTGCTCTTTATGCAACCATGTACTTGCTCTGAGAATTACTTCCACCTGTGAAAGCTCAGTGGATGTTTGTCATGCTGTTTACATTTCTTAAGTGTTCTGTGACGAGCTGCAGTGTAGGAATTGTTCTGTGATTTCAGGGTGCTAAGGGGCAAATCCTCAGTGGACTTTAACCTTGTATCTCAGTCTTTGTCCTTTGATAAGGCCAGAAGAATATTTAGCCATGTTTATTTCCTCTTCCCCTAACATGGAGTAAAACAGGCAAGAGGCCTCTTTCATTTTTCTAAGCACTCCTCCATGTTTAGGTTTTCACCAGCTTTTGGAATGGCAGAGGAGCAGGAAACCTCAGCTGAGCATTCAGAGTCTCAGGTGGTCAACTTGCAAATTTGAAAGAAAACAAGTAGCTGAAATCTGAATTAAACTTACTCATTAGGTTTTTACAGGAACAGGCAGTCTGTCTGCCGTAGAAAGAGAGGGATAGAAGTTCAGAAAATATACCAAGCACAAAGTGAAATAGAAATTCTGCAAGAGAGACAAGCTATTTAAAAATCCTGAGTTTCACGCTTAATGGTGAGGAAGATGAAGGAAAAATATGGAATGAAAGATTTCTAGAAATTATAGAGAATAAACCACAGAAGTTGGCACTGGTAGGGAAGTTTTTGAAGCAAAAGCACTCTAAGTTTACATTCCTGGAAATAAGTCAGGGTTCCATAGGGTTTTCTGCTGAGGGACAATGAGGAGAAAAGGAATTCTTCCCCTGCTCTGAGGCAATTCTGCTCCTTGTCAGTGTGACATAGCTTAGCATTTAAACACTTCACAAACTCCACTCACCTCTTTAGCCACCCCTGCATCACTAGTTTTACCTCCTTATGTCAATTGCTCCTTTCCCTTCTAGACATAACTGTTCTTGACATGATCCTACTTTTCCTTATGGCACAGATAAGTGAGTTCTTCATAGCCCATTGTACATGTAGTTTAGCTCCCATCCTTGCTGCACAGTAGATACTAATGCTTTCCCACTGCTGGTTCTCAGCATAATTGTCTGCAGCAGTAGCTCAGCACTCAGCAAAGACGTGTGTTCCAGCTCATTGGCAAAATGGGATCTGCCATTTCCCAGAGTGACAGTGCAGTCCCCAGCCTGCAGAGCAGGGCTGTGTGCTCTGTGCAGCTGGTCTCAAAACCTAAACTAAGGGAGAATTCAGACAGAAGTACACAGCAGCTAAGTTGTTGGCTAAGGAGGTTGGGAAGGAGTCTGGTTGAAGCACAGGGTGAGCCAGACAAAACCATCCCTGTACTGACAGTACGCTTGAGGTGGTTTCTCAAAGGGACTCAGAATTTGTTCACATTTTTTGAAAGATAGTTCTAAATAATGAGGAAGGAGGAAAGCAGTGAAATTCCATCTAATCTCAGGGCTTTGTTTTTCTTGTTTATACTACTTAATACAAGTGATATCTGATGAAAAAGATGAATATACTTAATCTTCATTAAATAGCTGCCAAGGTATTTTATTCCAAAGATGCTGGTTTAGTTTGATACCATGTGTTGTGAAGTGGTTAACTGAGGAGTAGTTCTGTCTGGCAAGAAAAGAGCATCTGCCTGGGAGAGTTAATCAATTAGCTTTCAAGCATGGACTTGTGGTTCAAACACAAGGCTGAATCTCAGGAGAATCTTGATTCAATTTTTGGGCCTATCTCCAACTTCCTATGTGACCTTGGCCAAGTCATATATTTTCTCTGTGCCTTGCTTCCCCAGATATCTGTTTATTTCCTCCCACATTTTGTCTTTTCCATAGGAATTTATAAGGATTTCAGTACAAAGATCCTTTTCTCATAAAGGGAGACATTTATGCCATCTGCTACAGAGTATTTTAACCATCTAAGTGAGGTGTTTTGAGCATCTCTCTTGGAAGTGTTTATCTCTTTTCATTGCTCCTTGCTATTGCAGGTGAGCAAATACTGTGACTGCCCCTAGGTTTGTGAATGGAGACCATCATCATCTTTGTGCTATAATACTTTCTCCCACTTCTGATGAGGGATTGCCTAATAGCTGGTTTATATTGTGTTCTGTCATTGGAGTTAGTTCAGGTGGGCTTTTCAGAACAGCCAAAAGTGCGTTTGTGGATGTTTATGAAAAATTTTACTAAGGACTGATGAGCTTCCTGAGGGGGGAGCATAAGAGTGCTGGCTTGAAACTATTAGGAAGCAAGTAATGAACTCCAGCATAATTGTACAAACTGTGGCAGTGAGCAGAGCAATGGGCTATATCACCTATGCTTTATCTTCTGGCTAGAGTATAAATGCTCCATGCTGTGGTTGCCTTTCCTTTAGTGGCTGTGCAGCAGTTGGCACAGATGAGAACTAGGAAATGACAGGGAAGCCCAAATCTATGATTCTGATGAAAATTATGGTTTTGGTAGCCTGTTGGTAACAACAAAAAGGACAGCAACAATTGATGAAAATTCTGAAAACCAGTGAGATGTCTGTGTGTGAATTAAGCTATGGGAGCTGGAGGAGGAACACAAAAGGACCAGCAGAACACAAAACAGCTGGAAAAATATCTGTTGATGAACTATATAAGGACAGAGATAGAGAAGGTGTACAAGGGAATGAGGAAGAGAATGCTAACACAGCCAGGATGTGGGGTGGCCATGGACAGTAACTTCAGGTGTTTGGCTAAGAGTGGAAAGGTTGGTTTTCACACCATACCTACTTGTCACCAGAGACTCTAAGCATTACTGCACTCCAACCAGTAAGAAATCATGCCACTAAAAAGACCATCTATCTGCTTAAACAGATGGCCTGGCTTTTAATATTGGAGAGATATATTCAATTTCTATATGCTGTATCTGTAAAATGAGATAAATTTGAAAGGAAATCTCTGGTAACATAAAGATTGAATCTTAACAAGGTCTCATCTGAGTTGAGAATTGGCTGAGTTGCCATTAAGGTTCTGTCTTCAAAATGCTGAACTGGGCTTGGAGTATGTTAGTTTTAAAAATATGTTTTCTATTTAGTCTTCTCACAACCTATCAAAATGTAAAAGGAAAGAGTTCATGCTCTTGCAGTGCTTTTCCACTTCCTGCATTCATGTCAGCTCAATTTGTTCCCCTCTCCGTGCAGTGCCCCGGGCTGCTCCAGCGGCTGCCCTGGCAAGGCTGTCAATTGGAGTTAGGCTGCTCAGCACATTGCACTTGGCAGCCCGTGTTCCCTGCTGCACAGCCCACCTCCCCTCTTCCTGCCTCACACCACTGAGAGCTCCCATCTCTCCTCACCACCCTCGTTTGTCTTTGCCTAAAGAATCCTGCCTTTCTCCACAGGGGAATTGTCATTTCAGTCGTATTCACCTACTTTGAGATGGGATGGATAAGTGGTCTTCCTCCAGTGACCTATGGGGCTGCACATCTAGCCTTTAGGCAGCTGCTCTTATTCAGGAAAACCTGCCTCCTTTGAGCCTGAAGGTCCCTCTGCACAGCCCCTCTTTGTCTTACAGAGCTGGGCAAGCTGAAGCCTTGAGCTTTGCTCCAGTTCTGTTCCTGTGTGATGTCTGCCTTGATTGAGCCAGTTTGCTTCAGGTTTTCTTGCCAGCATTTTTCCCCCTGCTCCTCCCTTAGCATGTTTCATGAAGGGCTCTTCATGAGGTTTAAAAGAAAAAAAATCTAGAAATAAAACCCAAGTGAAGGAAATAGTATTCAGAAGTTATCAGAAATTATCACATTACAGATTTGGAGGGAATTGTAATGGCAGCTTTGAAAATCTACTTGTCTGTCTTACCTTCTTGCTCAGCTGATTTATTCTGGACCACTCGTGTCTTACCTGAGTACCCAGCATACAAAATCAATAGCAAGTAGGTAAAGTTTCCATGGATGTATTTGTATTGAAATCTTAAAGGTCACATCCAGATGGGCAATGAAGCTTTGCTTTAAAGTTGAAACTAACACTTTCCAGTTGTGGTACTTCTTTGTATTTCTTACAGTGCATTTCAGAACAATCATATGTCAAAAAGAGTTAAGAAATGGTATGAAATAAGTTTTTTTTTTTTTTTCTTGGCCAGTTAGTGGTGATTCAGCACTACACCAGTGGGGTTAAATTACTTCTTGTTTCAGAGATAGCTTGGGTAAGATAGCTTGGGTAGTGCTGCTCAGAGTAATTTCATATCTGCATCAATCTGCATGATTGCTTCTCAAAGAGAAGGAGCCAGGAGAGTCAGTCCTTACCATCACCTGCCCGTGCAAGCCTGGTCCCCCCCTTTGAGGTACAGCCTCAAAGATCTGGTCCTTGGAAGAGAGTTTCAGCCTGGAGCATGGATCCCACTGGGAATGGGTTGTGTCAGAAAATGATGGCAAAGTGTCTGTGCCTGTCTAAGGGTTACTGAACACAGTGACTGGGAGGAAATACAGAAAGACACTGAATGTTTCTAAGCCTGTAGAAATAGGAGCATACATCGTTGTGTCTGCTTTTTACTTTTATTTCCCCTTTCTCCATAGCCCTATTGCTCCCTTCATCTTCATTTGAAGGTCTCAGACAACCCCTACACCTCAGGAAACATCGCCAGCCGAGACACTGCCCCCAGTATTATTGTAGCTTCAGGTATGAAACATTTAAAAATTGCCTCTGTTTGATGTGCAAACCTGGACAAACTCTGCAGTTTGTGGAGGGTGTTGGGTGGCTGTGGGGTGTCACACCACCAGTATTGGGAAAGGAGGCAGGCTGTCAAATGAAAATCCTTATGGGCCTTCAGTTTGTCATATGCTTTTTATAGAAACTGGCCTCTTCAAGACAGAGGAGCTCATGTCTAGTCCTCTACTCCTGTGAGCATAAGATCAAATCAGGACATTTCCTTTGCAAGTGAAAGTGTGTAGAATTCTATATATTGGGTCTTTTATGTATATTTTTTCAAACTGAAATGCCTTCCCTCTTGCCCTTTCCCTCTCATTTTCCTCCCAAACCTAGAAATTCTACAACTGCAAAATAAATAAATACATTTACTCCCCTGATTTGCTCATTCTGCTGTTTCTGAGAGGGTTCCTTCACTAACCAATGCTCATCTTGCAGGTAATATAGGCACTGAACTATCAGACAATGACATCAGCATGTTTGTTACTTCTGATGCTGGGAACACTTGGAGGCAGGTAAATGGCACAGAGTCACTGGTTTAAATAGAAATCATAGGAAATGTTATAAAAGTAGATTCAATCTGCCACTTAATTTTTGGTTCATTTGGTACAGGGTAGCTTTTTGCAAACCTTTTACAAAAGAGTAAACTTCCCTTCTCAAAGGTACAGAGATGTTCAAAGAAAAAGACTGAATATGCTGTTAGACTTCATATAACAGAAAATTATTTTTATTATTCTACTCAGAGTTTGATTTCATTTTAACCCCATAGCAAAGAGAACAGAATAAATATGAATAATAAGGGGAGAGAAAGTGTTGCCTTTCACTGTTGGACATTCCTCATGCCAACCAAACCATTTTTCTTTTCATCTATGACTAAACCTGCCCAAAAATCTGCAGTAGCATTGGTTTGCTTTTTCTCACTTCAGCTGAGACTCATTTCACCTGAGTTGTGCAAAGTTTATTGTCCATATAAATGGATTATTTTGCCTTGCTCTTAAGCTAAAGCAGAAAAAGATGAAATTCAGTTTGCCTTGTTCCACAGCCACCTACCTCTCCATTAATTGTGGAAAGAGACTGGATGATGAAATTATATCTAGTTCCTAATATTTAGTGGAGTCTTACCTGCTAAGAAATACCCTCTAATGTGCTTATCCTCTGATCAGGAAATTCTGTTATTCCTATTTTCTGAATGCAATATCAAGTCATGGAGAGAAAGAGTAAGTTTTTCAGACTAACAAATGCTGCTGTATAGACTGTAGAGCAGATGTTTGCAGAAAGTTAATACAAAAAAGACACAGGGAGAGAAAATCTTTTCCAATATTTGATAATCCATGAATCTAATTATTTTGCAATGTTTGACCAGCCTCATTTTTCTCTCTAAATCAATTATTTGAGATGGGCCAGACATGTGCAAACACATGAAATTCTTCTTCAAACAAAAATTTGTCATCGGAAGGAGGGGAATTGTTGATCCTTGCAAAAAAAAATAAATCATATTTCTAATATTCTGTCAAGCAAGGGAAGAATGAATTTTCCATGGACCTGGAAAAACTGGGGGGGAAACCCCCAAACCATAAAAAAACGAGACCAGGAAATAGATCTATAATTTCCTCTAGTTTATAATTTTCTTAGCACATCACTGTCCTGTGTCATGATCCTACTTAAAGAACTGTGACATTTTCTTGATACTAAGGGCAATAGTTTTAAATAAACACTTTTTTTTTCTTTTCTTTTTTTTTTTTTTTTTTCAGATCTTTGAGGAAGAGCACAGTGTTCTGTACCTGGATCAAGGTGGTGTACTCGTTGCAATGAAACACACATCTCTGCCTATCAGACACCTCTGGTAATGACTCCATTTGTGCTAAATGTCTGCTGTCCCTCTTTTCTGATGCCAGCACGTAGGCAGTTATTATGCATCCAGTCTTCTGCAGCTATAATCTAGAAAGTATTACTTAAGATACTGGCAAACATTAAGTCAGATAAAGCTAAGAAATCCTGGAAATTACAGTTTACTTAATTTTGGCTTGGCCGGATCTGAGATATCATCAGTGTAATTCCACAGCACTCCTGATTTACCACAGCTTGGCTTCTTGGATTTGATTGTTTATAATATATCTATATATATGGTTTATGCCTTTGTCTCTCATTAAGTTACCAAAGTAGCCCTAATTTTCAAAATTATTGATGAACTCTCCTGTGTGGCAGGCAGCACTTATGAAGCAGAATTTTGTTGAATAGATTCAGGGTTATGTAACTGATAATGCAGAAGTGTCTTCACCAGCTAGCACTCCTGAGTGGGGAGGCAGAGTATAGCTTTGTGCTGTTTTGTATTATTTACTTCCACCACAGTTAGTCTCATATCAGAATCTGAAACACCCAGACCCAAGTCTTAAGAAATGATGAGTGGTTCCAGGCTTTCACTTACACTCCCCACAGGGGGGACTGCTGGTCTGAAGAAACTGTCATCCTCCAGAAAAATAACCTCAAAATGTTTTATACTGGGGACTCAAAAAACAGATGTTCAAAATCACTTGTTTATTTTTTTTTTAAATCTTATGCTTAGGCTACATTTTTGCCCTTTGAGCATCAATCTTTATCATAACTACTAGTTTCTACCACTTAAATATTGGCTGTGGGTTAGTAGTATGATGCCAAAAAAGCTTGATCAGTGCTGTGATTTATGATGCTTCCCCAAAAAAATAGTTATACAAAGGACTAAAAAATTCAGAATCCAATAAGAGAAGCTGTTTTCCACTTCTCCATAGCAGCTTTAGTGGACTACAGAATCCCCTTGAGTAAAATAGGAGAGTAAGGAAATAAGACACTGATTCTGCTTTCTCCTCTAGGTTAAGTTTTGATGAAGGGAGATCTTGGAGCAAATACAGTTTCACATCCCTCCCACTGTTTGTAGATGGAGTTTTAGGGGAGCCTGGAGAGGAAACCCTCATCATGACGTAAGTGAGCGTGCCATAATGGTGCTGTGGAGGTGAACCACACATTGTCTTTTGGAACAGTGGCATTTCTGGTGCCAGGCACAATCTGAAGCCAAGAGTGTGCAGTCTTCTGTTGCTGCATCATCAATCTATTTGTGATACAACTGAGGGATTAGCAACATGGCTCCTTGCAAGCTGCAAACACATTATCACTTATCAGCATGAAACCTGACTCGTCAAATTGAATGTGATATAAAGCAGAGTTACTATTGACAGATTAATATTTGAAAGAAAAATGTGAGGTATTTTTATAACGGTGTTTTTGCTGCTGCATTCTTTTTTTTTTAATGAGACACAGATAAGTGAAGACATTCTTTTGTAAAAATGAATGACAAAATGTTGCCTGGAGGCTGACTCATGAAAAATTATGTTTAGTTTCAGTGTGGTATGCTGAGTTCTGCATGATGCATAAATCTGGACTCGCTATGCCAGAAACTGTGATATTTTATCTGAGATCAGATCTGTAAAAACAGAAAGTATTTCTGACTGACCTGTAATAAGCAGAATATGTGGCTTGGAAACTAATCTGAGTTAGCTCAGAAAGATGTATGAAGAATGTTCCTTCAGGTTCTGATTTTAATTTGCATGGAAAGGATTCCCAAAGCTTAAAACTTAGATAAAACTCCTGAAGGTATTACTGTCTCCAGCCCCACATCAAGTCTTCTCTTGATTCTTCAAGTTGAGTAATTTTGGATATTGTCATAAGTGGGAGGGTCTTAGGGAACATAATAAAAGCTACATGCAATTTTTCAGTTTCTAATAGGGTTATAGATATTTAGCAGGCTAAGTTTCACTTTCACTTTGACAGTCCAGTGAAAATGAGTAGGACTCTCACTCTTAAAGCAATTTATCTCTGTTGGAAATTGTAGTGACTGTACCTCTGTAACTACCAGACTTCCTTTCATTGTATGTTCTTCCTGCTGCATTGTGTAGTGTGTTTGGACATTTCAGCCACCGCTCAGAGTGGCAGCTGGTGAAAATCGACTACAAGTCCATTTTTGATCGGAGATGTGCAGAAGAGGACTACAGGCCTTGGCAACTGCACAGCCAGGTGAGAAGCAAGGATGCTGGGATGTGATCTGAAGTAGCTAATGATCCTACAGCTCAAGATCAGCACAATCCAGTATCTTTCCCAGCAGTTTGGTGTGTCAGCTCGTCCCTTTCTGTGTGGGTCTCTTGTGGTGCACGGGGGCCTTGCCTCAGATGGAGGCTCTGTGGTCCCTGAAGGATGAGCAGCTGTCTTTTGGGTGTCATCCTGCACACAGGCAATTACCTCAGACTGATGCAGGCTTGAACAGTACAACAACAGCAGAAGAACTGCCACAAAAGCCTGAACTCCTTCACTCTTCCATCTCCCATCCAATTTCCCCGTCCTTACCTCCTTTCTCTCCTTGATCCTTCTGTGTCCTCAGAGAACATGTCTTAAGACCATTCTAGTTGTTTCACATTTGCTTCTCCCATTTCTGGCCCTCTTAACCTCATTTCTTGCTCACTTGATTTCATCCCTGTCGTGCCTCTCTCTGCTGTGGGAGCTGGGCACTTCATTCCCCAATTCATTGGCCTCCATGCCCTGCCCTGTGTATCCTGGATGCAGCTGCTGGATCACTCTCTGATCCATGGAATTCATGCCCAGCAAGGTGAGGTGCTCTGCACAGTGCCTGCACCAGCTCTGCCAAAACACAACAGCATATGCTTCATCAGGTTAGAATAAAATATGGCTCAAATTCTGTGGTTATGTAAACACCACAGGCTCCACTAAAGTCTAGAGCAAAGCACACATTTATATTATCAGAGGCTGTCTTTCTGTATATATCTTTCTGGGCAAAAAATTAATAATGAATATGAAATGAAAATAGCTTGACTCAGACTAGCTGCTCACACAAGGCAAAAGTCTACACTAAAAATACCAGTTATTACTTAGATCTTTAGATGCTGAAATCAGTACAGCTTCCTTGAAATTCCAGGAAGCACAGCATTTTGCACCAGTTGCTATTTAGGCCCTTTTGTTTCATGCCATCAAATCATCAAATCAAAGCCATGAAAAAATTTTCCACAACGATTTTAACAGCATAAAAGGCAATAAGTGAGATTCCGCTGTATTTTGTTCTTTGCTTTCTTGTGCTTGCATAAGCAAAAATACCAGGGATTTTGCAGTATTTCTTTGAGGATGTTGGCTTTGGAGCTTGCAAAACTACTTTTAGGAAGGCTTCTGTGTACTCTTGCCTTTTGAATTCCTTTTCACTGAGATTGCAAGGCCTTGTTCCCTAGATAGAAATATTAAGCAGAGTGCTGAAGATAGGAAGTTTTAGCATCTACATAACAAGTCAAACCCCATAAAACCAAACTCATCCATGAGAAATATTTACATAAACACACATTACTAGTTTCTACTGAATGAAAACATTCCCAGAGAGGTGAGACCAAAGAAATAAACCTACTCTGTACCTCAGATTGCAGAGGAATCAGACCATGTTTTCAATTGCTGTGAAATGGGCCTGTATCAAATGTTTATGGGTTTTGGAACAAATTCAGAACCGGGTAAGATATATATGTAATCTCAGATAATTTCTTAGTGTGAAATGGAAAAGTTGATTTAGTTTCAGTTGGAGCTTCAGTAGCTTTAATTACTCCAGTGTACTGAGATGGCATTTGGCTTCCCATCCCTTCCCTTGAGTAACATCTCCTGCTGCACAGGTGTGGAAAAACCAGCTGACACAAATAGCCTGGTGGGCGCCAAGGAAATGTTTCTGCTTCTGTTTGCAGGGAGAAGCCTGCATCATGGGCGCAAAGAGGATCTACAAAAAGCGCAAGTCAGAGAAGAAATGCATGCAAGGGAAATATGCAGGGGCTATGACCTCGGAGCCCTGCCTGTGCACAGAGGCAGACTTTGACTGGTGAGCAGTGACAGAGGGACTGGGTGCTCTCACACGGCACCACGGTGTCGAGTTTTATTTTCTCTTTGTCAGAGTTGGGATTAAATGTATGAGACGGTATTTTTTGTTTGGACTCAGATGTTTATTAGTTTTTATTTATGTTACAGTTTTACAAATTTTGAGTTTTACAGTACTTCAAGCTAACAAATTAAAAATGGATCTTTGTTTGTGTTTTCTTTACAAGGCCTTTTAAGGATAAACTGTCCAATTAAGAAATGACACAAATTATTTTTACTTTTAACTTAAAAACTTTGTGGTTCACAATGCGAACTTTTTTATTTAGTCACATAGTATCACTCAAATTTATGAAGAAGAAGAAGGTGAAGAAGAAGGACTAGCCTTCACCCTAAAACTTTCTTCTTGTTTTATATATATTATTATATTTTAAAATCTTAAACTCTTAAGTTTTTCACTATGTGGTATTACACACTTCTATTCAAACTACACACTCATGATCTCAGTTTTATCATTTAATTTTGGAAGCCTTTTCCACGGCCTCAGGTCAAATGTAGTGTTCTCCTGGGGATCAGTGCCTGTCAGAAGGTCTAAAATTCTTAGTGACAAGGGTTCCAAAATCACGGGGATCCTCAGAGAGGCTGTAGGCTTGCAGGGAGCAGAAATTAATAAACATGTAGGTATTGAAATAGGCTGCTCCCTGATAATGCAGCTATGTTAAAAAAAGAAAAGGTGGAATAGGTATCTGAAATCTCCTAAGGTTCCCACAAAATCGATGCTGACCATTTTCCGGGTGACAGCTCTGTGCACCAGTAAGATAACAGGTCAATTTAGCACACCTAATTTTAGCAGTGACCAGCAGTGGCTGAGAGTTGTCTGAAGACATGTAACAGCATTGTGTAAAAAATAAAATAAATTCTTAACACATACACACACATGCATACATGAGTAAAAGTAAATATATGCATATGCAAAGTATGCCTTCAGCTTCTAGAATCAAGTATCTAGGAAATTCCTGGCTCATTTGTTGCATCTGGACCATCATGTCTGACAGCATGCAGCAGCCATTGCCTTCATGATTTGAGTTAATCTCTTTTTGAAGCCTTTTCTTCTCTGGTGTTTGCTATGGGAAATCGAGTCCATTGGTGAGTTGTGCATGGTGTGATAAAATCTTCAGCTGCTGGTTACATTTCAACATTACTGCTGACTCACAGCAATTTGCACAAAAAAGGCAGGGAACCATATTATTGAAATGTCCTTCTTACCTCTTTTCTCCAAGTCTGCAATTTCCTCAGTATCTTGGATGAGAGAAATGTTTCTCTTTGGCAGTGCTGATAAACTCCCTTTGTGCCTTACTCACCCAGATCTATGTCATGTTACTAATTAAACCCAGAATCTGCTACGTGAATCCTGAAAAGGTTCATTTCATCAATATTTTGCATGGAAATTTATAGCACTCTATTCTCACTCCTCCATAAATATAGAATATTTTTCCTGTATAAAATCACAGAATCGCAGGAAGCTTTTATATTGTGTCAATTCTCTTGCTCCACACAGTAACAGTTATGAACATTTTTCACACAGATTCTGTCACTATGGTTTCTTGATGATTTCCTCATTTTCCATTTAGTTCTTTTCTAGGGAGAACATCTGTGTGTAGTTCATCATTTAGGTGTCCAAAGCTCCTGGATTTCAATCATTTAATATTTCTCTAGTAATGTAAAAAAGATAACAGCTAAACCAAAAACCCCAAACCATCATTAAAATCAAGGAAGTTCTCTGAAGATTTTTGACCCTCTTACAGAACATGCAGTACAACGCTGAGCCAACCTCATGGCCTTGTAAAATAATTGAAAAATTGACTCGCAGTCAATTAGTGTTTAAATCCCTGGCACTAGTAAAGGACACACGTACCTGAAACTTCTGATAAAAATATGCTTTCCTTCCAGCACTTCTCTCTGAGAATGAATGTATTTATTCCATTAAAATTGACTGTGTGGCTTTCCACTATAAAACTTTGTTGCTAGGTACAGAATAAAAGTACCAGAGTGACATTTGCTGGTGGAAACATGTTTTTATTTCTTTAGTCTCTTAAGAGAAAGCTTGGATAATGGGCATGTACAACAGGCGCTCACAGTTCACATGCATGAACAAGACACCTCAAATCTGTGGGAAGAGGCAGAATTAGGACCTTTCTGACCCAGGAGAACCTTTCTCCTTCTCATGGAATCAGTTTTGGTTTAGACCAGACTCTCATGATCTCCTCCAGTCTCCCTGAGCTCATGTTATTCCTACAGTCCTCAGACCTGGATTTCTACTTTATCCATTTCATCTTCCTTTCCTGCTGCCTCTGATGAAAAAAGACTGAAATATTGCTTTAAGCATCCAGTTCAGAAATATTTACCAACAATACTCATCAGGAGCATAATTTTACTTAGTTATGCCAGAGAAGGACAGAAAAGGAGAAAAGAGAACAGCAAGAAAAAAAAGAAATTCTGTCTGGTAAGAAAGGCAAAGCTGTTGCTGCACCACTGTAACTCTCAGTGCCTGCCATGCTGAGCTCTTCACGAGGCTTCACTGCCAATTCACCCTGCAGATGTTGGAGGGAGGTTTGGAGGAAATCAGGGAATGAATTCTTGCTGTGGAAGGATGCCCTATGTGGAGTTCTTTCCATCTCAGGAAGAAAAAAGCACTTTCATCATCCTCACTCATGACATTTCAGAGCTTTTGAATTCTTTTGAATTCTTTTGAATTTTTTTTTTTTTTTTTTTTTTTTTTTTTTTTTTTTTTTTTTTTTTTTTTTTTTTTTTTTTTTTTTTTTTTTTTTTCCTGGGCAGGGCTCTTTATTGAAGGAGATTGAAAGAGACATGTATCCCCCAGATAGGGAGAAGCTCCTTAGCTGCCCACTTGATTTTTCAATCTTGAAATAAATTGGGCAGCTTTTTATATTGTCAGTGGTTACAGAACCCAGGTTTGTATACGGAGTTGAAGAAAGCAACAATCCCTGTCATTGTGCTGCCATTGCTGTTTAAACGCTAAATTTTTATGGAGAAAATTTTATTATCTAAGCTTGTCAGAGATTGGAGTAAAAAATCATATCTCTGTGGTCAGGTAAAAAGTGAGAAAAAGTGTTCTGGCTGTTAATCCTGCAAGTCTTTTTTTATCAGTTCAGGGAAAAAATACCAGTTATAAAGGACATAAAGATTTTCTCATGCTTTTTCTCTCCTTGTACTGTCACAGAAACCCAGATTTATTTCAAATCTGTATGGATTGGTACTAATTTCTCAGGGAAGAGGGTGCATTTGTTTATTGTTCAGCGCAGCAAGAAAATTGAGTGACATTAGAAGCGACTGTAGTTCCTCCAGCCTTGGGACCTGGATTCTTCTGCAGCAGACACTTTTATCCGGGCTGGAAGGAGGAGTGGCAGGGCTGACACTTTTATCCCGGGCTGGAAGGAGGAGTGGCAGGGCTGACACTTTTATCCCGGGCTGGAAGGAGGAGTGGCAGGGCTGGCACTTTTATCCCGGGCTGGAAGGAGAAGTGGCAGGGCTGACACTTTTATCCCGGGCTGGAAGGAGGAGTGGCAGGGCTGACACTTTTATCCCGGGCTGGGCACAGGTTCCCGGCTCTCCGTGCAGGGAATGCGGCTCGCAGCCAGAGGGCAACAGCGCTTCAGGAATGGGGGACCCTGGATGCGCAGCAGCATCGGCAAGGCTGTCCTAGCAACGGCCTAGAAACGAGAATCTCCTTCTTCATTTAATTGATTTGGGTAAATGGATGACACCGTTACTTGGGTGTTATTAAAGCATTAATTTTCCCAGTTTCCTCACATTGTGTCCCTTCCTGCCGTCTGAGCATTATTACAGCGATATCTCTTCGGCAGAAACACCTCCTAGACACAGATGGAAACCTTTGGATGTGTTCATTCTTCAGCCACCTGTCTCCAGGTCCTTCAATAGGAACTCTGAGTAGAGTGTCTCACTGTCAGTTCTCCCCCTGAACCTGCTGCCGTTAATACTGACAGCTTCTTCTATCAGTATTGCCATCCCTCACACCTTCATGGGAACTATGAGCCAGTTCAGACTGGTGCTAGTGGTTTTGGGTAGCCAGAGAGGCACAAAGGTGGGAATCAGGTTATTTATTTATTTCACAGATGATATCAGCAAGGATCTGGCTGGCTCTTTTTATATTATCTGGCACTTAAATTGCAGCCCTGGCTGCTGGGATTAGTTCCTATGCTAAAACATCAGAGTCCTGCATCAGGAGAAACTGTTCTGACAAACCCTGGGAGGAAGGGGACAGACACTGAGTGTGGTTGGATGCTGCTGGCTTTGTGTGTCAGCCATCAGTTCAGATCGTGCAGGTGCTAGCTCTGAAATCTGAAATTTGCCCCCTTTGGTTATGGGCTTGGTTTGCTAACAAATAGTAATTTAGAATGAATTTTTAGTTCATTTTGAGTGCTTATGGAAAATGCAGCTTCACTATGCAAAATCTACAGTGCATCTCTGCATCTTTAAGGGCCTGGATATCTACTGGGCATGGATTTACTGGAAAGATTCTGGGGATTTTAGGTTCCATATTAACATAAGCCGCTACAGCTTGACTCAAATACTACGATGCAATTATAATTGTACATCTTTGTAGATCCACAGTTCAGACTGTAGCTGAATCCATCCTTCTCTGAGTTAAATCCCATGTCAGGTCCTGTAGAACTGGGGAACAAGCACAGCTCCCCTTTAACACAAATCTACGCTTGAATTATGGTTAAATACTAGACAATAATATTAAGTGAATAAAAAGGTAGTGAGACTTTTCCAGTGCTGTGGCTGTTATATTTTCCCACCAGGGCTTCTGGAAACTGCAGAAAAAAATGTGACTGTTTTCAGAGAGAGCTCAATTCCACCCCGTTTAATGTCCAAAATGTTTGGAAACACAGCATGCAAAAACACAAGGAGCATTGTCAGCTTCTGGCATAGTTTACCTTAAGGTGAAGCTGTTAATCTTAAGGGATTTCTATGATTACATGCTAAGTCATATCTTGATTTTTAGAAGCTGTGTATATAGCAATCACTTTGAATTAACTGGTTATTTCTATATCTTTTAGCAGTAGGATTTTAATAATTTTATGCGAATTAACAGTTCTTCCAAACAGTATGTTTGTCAGGTCTCTTTTCAAATTACAAACTTCCTTAGGGGATTTCTTTTCTTTGATTATTACCTATGCTGAAAATAACATTAGATAAAGGAATTTACTATGAGCATTGAGCAGAGATACAGAATGTCTGGAATGAATTTGTATCTAATTACAGAAAAGATCTTGCAGTTCTACTAGACTAAGACAAATAGGATTCCAGTTTAAACCAGTGAAAGGGTAAAACCATAATCAATGAGAGCCACAAGACAAGGCTGCTTCATACTGATAAAGCAATCCCTGCTGGCAAATGCTCCACTCCTTTTTAGGAGATACATTATCTGTGTCACCTGAGTTCTTTCCAGGCAGGCACAAAATATCATCAATATATGCAAATTCCAATTCCCAGTTCCCAGGCAATGACTCGAGGAGCTGATTGCAGGCTGAGGCTGATGCCTTCCCCATCCCCAGACTTTGCTGTACTGGCTCGTGCTATGGACATCCAATTGATGGTAATGCTTCTTGATTGCTACAAAGCCTGTTGTGCCAAATTGTAGGCAGCAATTTGTTGTCAGCATCAGTGTTCTGCGTGCACCAGCCTGTAGCCAAGGAATTCATTAGATTCCAAGACTGCGGAGGTGAACGGGTGGCTGCTGCATCTGTGGAGGGATATGGAGCAGCAATTCGTGTCATTTACTGGGATGATATTTCTGTAGGGCCTTAATGAGCCAGATGATTTGCAAGCCTGAAAACAGCACTGTGAAACTTCTGTGCTCATAACTATTTCTGCTGTGGAAAATCCTAGGATTTCTTTCTCTTGACTTTGAGAAATATGACCCAAGTACAGTCAAAACTAGTTAATTCCAGCTTGGCTTGCCCAGATTTACAGATAGGAATAGGAACCAAAATAGTAGCTTGAATCTAGACATGTGTATAGGAAGAAAGCCCAGACAACTGCATCAAATTGGATTGTGAGTACTGATCTCCTCTGAGGCAGATTTCACTGTATTGGTTTGTTTTGTTTTCACCTGATTACAGAACACTGTGTTTGTGTACAGTGTTACAGCTTTTTAATTAGAGTCACACATGATAACTTAGGAATACAGTGCTGCAGAGTGTTTACAAATGAATTACAAAAATACAGGAGTCCCATTTGTATGTAAATATTTGTTTTCTCCAAGCAAATCAGAATGGTGTTATTCTTCATTACAAAGTGTATTCTGCAGCTATAGTGTTCTTATTCCAACAAGGATGATTATAGAAGCACATGGCAGTGGGAGAATTGGCTGGCTGATGCTTCCAAAGCAATTAAGCAGCACTGAGTTGCAACCATCTGAGTAAATAGATTGGTGAAAATTCAGTCAAAAAAAAATGAGGAAAAGACCGTTTGGGTCATCTACTTCATTGCTGTTTCCTGGAGTATGTTCTCAATTACTTGTTGTAGATACCCCAAGCACCACAGCTGCCAAAATGTTCCTTTGGAACATGCAGTCTGATATATGTTTAGGGGTTTTCTCAAGTGATTCACAGTATTAAATTTCTTTTGCTTAACGTCATCTTTTTAATTTTGCCACTTCAAGATTGCCTCAAAAAATCTTTTTTAGTTCTTTATTCAGAAGAAAAAAGTTGAAGCAAAAATAAAAACTGGTGACTGAATTATTTTTGATATCTTTTCTTGATAACCAGGTCAAAAAACTTAACATAGATAAATCGAAACATATTATCTCCTTTTTTATTTCTTTGTCTTATAACTTAGATCAGTACAAATACTTAACATTGTAGCTTAACAGTACAATACCTAACTTAACCAATAACAGTTCTTAACATTGTTTACTAGTCACTCACTATATTTTTTATTTAAGTCATCATGCTTTTCCAAGACACTTGAACAAAGTCTTCATTAAGCTAAACACTCTTCTTGTTAATATTTTTCTATAAATATCTCTTGTGTTGATGATCTGGTAGGTCTCACCCTGGCCATGGACTGTTGGCTGTCTTGTGAGCTCTGGGAAGAGCTGGAGCAGGGGCTCCACTAACTCTGATCAGGTTGTTGGGGGTTCATCCATCTCCTGTTTTTTCTCTCTGCTTCTTTACATACATATGAAAATACAAGCCCTTAATCCCATAATCTAACACTGCCCTAATTCTCTTTTCTTGGAATATCAGGCTACTTGATACCAAGACATTAAAGATAATAAGTAACACATACTTGGCAGCAAAGTGCCATTTAAGATCAAGAATTGTGTTGCAACTGGAATATTGGAATGGAGTTGGTGGACTCTGTATAGCAGTTCTCAGAAACAACATCCCATCACTTCTCCATTGTGAATATGGAGAAGGCTTAGTAAAAGGAAAAGAATGATTATCCAACCAAGCAGTCCTCATTACTCAATGGCTGGAAAGTAAACCCGTATGTAAATCGAATACTGATTAAAGAGATTTTCTGTTTGTTGGATTTTTTTTCGGGCAATAACATTTTTTATAGAGTCTTTGTTTACTTGGAATCAGAAACAATTTGAAATGTTTTTAGTGAAACCAAAGCAAATTTAGTCATAGCTAAACTCAAATTGTGACAAAAGATTAAAGTTTGACTCATTGTTTCTAACATGATTTTTGGTAGCATTTCCTCTTCCAAACAAAAAGAGGATTGAAGATCACAGAATTCTTTCCCATTACCAAATATGCTGTTAATGCCTTCAGGCAAGAGCTCTCTCAGGGCTGTAAATTTTCCTCTGCATCCTGTGTGATACAGTTTCCAAATGCAATTAGCTTTTTAGCCCTTCAGTTTTGTAAGATATGACTGAGACAGTGGTGATTTAACTTAGCTTAGATTTCTGGGGTTGTTTTGGGTTTTTTTGTTTGGTTGGTTGGTCTTTTTGCTTTGTTTTGTCTTTTTTTGTATATTTGAGCCTAGATTTAATCCTGAGAGGTAGTTTGAGTCTGTGGAGAGAGAACAATTGATGAAATACTCATAAACTATCTGCTCTGGTTATTCTTTTTTGAACTGGGATTTATGCAAGATAACTACCCCAATTAGCTGAAGTGAAATGAAGAATCTGTTCTATCAGTAAAAATAAAGTCAGAAATCCTAGTAAACAGACAGAGGAAAATCAAAACTTGTATTAATAATAGCACAAATTAATGCCATGTTTGCTCTTTTGGGGTTTTATGTAATGGTTTCTTTTAATGTTTACAACAGTGATTATGGATATGAACGGCACAGCAATGGCCAGTGTTTACCAGCATTTTGGTATAACCCATCCTCTGTGTCAAAAGACTGCAGCCTTGGACAGAGTTATCTCAACAGCACTGGGTAAGTGGCTCACCAGGCTTTATTTGGCTTGAGCACCCATATGGGTTTAGCCCAGTGACAACAGATTACACCTACTGTAGATGTGTCAGAGCTGGCTGGAGCCCTTGGGACACTGTCATCACCACCTTTGCTGGGTTGCACATCTGTCACTCCAGATCTCCATCATGTATGGCCTTTTCTCTGAAAGATGATGCCTTAAAGAAAGTTTTGGGGGAGACTGTAAGGCAAAATCATTGATGTTTCTGAAAAGACTCCTCTTAAAATCTTGTGAGATCAGGTGAGGCAGAAATACTGGAAGATAAATTAGTGGAGAGAGGTGAAACTGATGCATATGTGAAGTAATAGATAGGCAGCTAGCCTGAATGCTGACTGTTCTTTGGCCCTCTTGGAAGTCAATGGAAGATGCAGTTTAAGTTAAGATCCTGGCAGACTTCATTTATGATGCAAGTGATTAAACAAAGCAACTCAAGCTGGTTTTAGAAGGTTTGTACATTGAAAGATGGGCAGAATTTGCTTTTTACTTCAACTCTTATTGTTCTAGCCCTTGAAGGTTACATCTTTAGAGACATTTGCCTCACAAGTAATGAGAAGTGGAGAACACACGAGAAAAGTTGTTAACTTTGCCCAACAGTGTAATAATTGAATGCATTACATTAATGTATGTGTATATAATTTATTTATAACTTTATGTAACTCGTAACATACCATTTTATGGTTTGGGTAATTTATGGTACCTTATAAGATACTCTATGCAGGAAATTATCACAGGGCACTAACAACAGTACGAACTACTGGTGTGTTGGGCACATGAGGAATGCTTGGCTGAGACAAACACTGAAATACATTTGGGAATCTCTGTTTTCTGGCCATCTCCTTAGTCCAAAGGAACCTTTTCCCAGTTAGCCCTGCTTCCCCCATCCCTTTCCAGGTACCGGAAGGTCGTTTCCAACAACTGCACGGACGGGGTGCGGGAGAGGTACACGGCCAAGCCCCAGCAGTGCCCGGGCAAAGCCCCGCAGGGGCTGCGCATCCTCACGGCCGACGGGCGGCTCACGGCCGAGCAGGGCCACAACGTCACCTTCCTGCTGCAGCTGGAGGAGGTAGGCTCTGCTGGACAGCACTGCACCCACGGCCGTGGCGGCGTGGTCCATGCCGGGCAAAGAGGCGAAGCGAGACAGGGCGGCGTAAAGGCGGCCAGCACGTAGCCAGGTGGAGTTTGCTCCCAAACGTATAGAGGTGAAAGGGCTGCCATAGCATTGTGGTGCCCAGGGTAACACCTGGGAGAAGTTGATATAGTCTGGGAATTGGTTTCATTTGGGAATTTCACCCGAAGACTACAGGTTTAAATTCTGATCCCCCACCCTTAACTGTGTTTTTTTGCTTCCTGCTGTTTCTTGAAACTGAATTTGTGTCGCTGTAGAGGTGGGCATGACACACAAATAGACACACTACATTTCAGAAGGCTAATATCTCGTTTATTACAACAGTTGACTGTCTTTTATACACTCTACAAAGTTTACACTTTCTTCATTGGATACAATTAGTCAACATAACGTTCATTGGTATAAAACCCATCTCCACCTCTGTTTCTCACAAGACTTTTCTAAAAATACTTTTCCCTGTGCAAGTTCCTTCTTGCTTATCTTCTTCTCTTCTTGGTCTCCAGGCCAACATCCTTGGTCAGAGAATACTTCTCAAAACAAACCTCGTTCTTTAACCCTCTTTAACCCACAGACCAGCTGTGGGTCCTACTATAAATTTCCTTTTTTTTTTTTTCCACTGACTTTAAACTGAAGATGACAAATAGTACATGTGCAGCTGGGTCCCCATCACACAAGTTGGTACATATTGTTTATGCATTTATGGGTGAAATCTCAAGATGTCTTCAGCAGGATTAAGTAAAAAATTCATTGCTATTGTGAAGCTGATTTGGGCTCTGATCTGTGTTTTTGTTATATCTGGAACTTGGTATTTCATTGTTCTGTTCCCTCCATTCCTGAACCCATAGAAAAAGGTATTTCAATCTTTTCACCTCCGTTTTCTTTTCAGCACTTCTTTATCTGTGTTTAATTGCAGGGGCACAAGCAGGAACATTCACAAAGTAGAAGTTTTCTTTTTCCCTAATCTAATTTGATTGCTTTAAACTTCTACCCCTTTTCCTCTCTTACTGGCCAATAAATCCTGAAATAAGTATGCTTTAACACCAAGGGACAATGTACACACTTTTGTAGTTTAGAGTATTTGAGGGACAATGTACATCCCTTTTTAGTTTAGAATATTCAAGGAAATTACTTCTGACCCTCTCCCTAGTAAATGTTATCTGTGAGGAAAGATTTTTTTTTACATCTCTATTATTGATGTTTTCCGCAGCAAACAAGTGCCCTAATTTGTAAAGGCAATACCATATTATAAATCATACCTAACCCGAAGTAGTTTTTGACCTGAATGTTTATTTTCTCCAAAATATGTTCACTTTATTTCAGTACTGACAGTCATACAACATTGCTACTGTGATGCTGTAATAACAGTGTGAACATATGATTTCATCTGGTTAAATTATTGATTTCTGCATTTAAAGATGAAAAGGAAAAGGTCCAAAACAAGAGTCAGTCTCTAGGCTTTAAGAAAACAAAAAAAACAAACATGCACTTTGCATCACCTTTCTCTTCTGAAAAACTTTTAAAACAGTCTGGGAGAAGGAGATGGATAATCTGAATAGTCAGGCATAAAAGTATCAAAGAATTATGCCAATAGTCAGGGGGAAAAACAATGACCCACAGTGTGAGAGACTCAGGACAAAAGTCCTGCTCTCTGTTCTGTGAGTGCTCCAGCTCAGATATCATGTAAGAGAGCCCTGGCCACTCTGTCACACAGGGAGCTGCTGAGCATTGTTCTGTCTCTTTCATTCATTCTGATCTTTTTGGGCAGCTCTGCTTCAGTCTGCACCAGAGTCTGGCAGCAGCACCTTCTCCAGCATGAGATGGTGCCTCTCTCATGCTGGGTGTCAAGGAGTACAGAATGGATGTTTTGATGAGTGAGTGAGTCAGTTCTGAGGAGATCTAAAGGGAACTCTTCTTCCAGTGTATCAGCTAAGGAAGAGGTTAGGAATTGCTCTGGAGGCTGAAGCAGTATTGATCAGCCTCAGCCTTTCCAATTACTCTCCCTGTTAGATGAATCTTGACCTCCTGCTCCTAGATTTGTCAACTTAAAGAGCAACCAACAAAACCTTTGGGTGAATTTTACCCAGTCTGGCAATGATTTTGTGTGGGTGTTGCAACAAAAGAAATATTCAACAAACAGGAATATTTACCCAGTTACATGCAAGCTATAGGGGAATAAAACGTAGTTGAAGCAGAAAAACTGTGTGTAGACTAAATCATTTTCCAATTTAACTGTTTCAGTGACAAAAAACCCACCACTCATTAGAAAAGTTAAATAACCCATCTAAAGAACAAGCATCCTTGCATAAAATGAATATTGATTTCACAGAATAATTGAGGTTGAAAGGGATCTCTGAAGATTGTTTAATCCAACTTTGCATACAAGGCAGAGGTATCACAAGACAAGAATTTGCCAATTTCTGTTTAGTTCTGCCCTCCACAGATATATAGCACAGTACAATCTAGGATGTTCAGTATCCAAAAAATCTGTGCCACTCCATTTTTACTGAGAGGAAGGAATCAGGAATGTTAAAAAGGGCTGGATATGTCACCTTGCACATCTTTTCCCCCAACAGCATATGAAAAAAGTGTGTCCTATTTAACCCTTGCCCCCTGGAGTGGTGGGCAACATTTTAGAGTGCTACACCCTGGTGAGGACTCCTTCTTTAGTGTGAGTGACAGCTGGTATCTTTTAGGGTGTGAAAAAGCATTGGCCTTTCCTTTTGCATCTTAACATCTCCTGTATCCCTCTGAGACAGTATGTTTGAAGCCTTCAAATCTGCAGAGCTGTTTCATGCACTGCAGCCTCCTGGCTCTCTTTTTTCATGCCCATGTTCCACTTGATCTGCAGGAAAAAAGAAAAAAAATAATAAAAGAGAAACTGGTGAGCCAAGGTACAAGAGTTTGTTTGAGATTTGTACTCCTGTTATCTTTCTAGGCCTTTCTGCTCCATCTAGGAATCCACCTGGGCTTGAAAAGAGGAACAAACTGCAGAAGTAGGTTCACTGGAGGCCCTGAAAATTCACTGCCTCTCTGTAGTGGAGTAGATTGCTAAGAGAGCAGGGAGAGGCCAATGGCAGCAGTAAAAAGCTGATGTTTTCATTCAGGTGTGAGCAGTAAAAAGCTGATGTTTTCTCTCAGGTGTGGGATTCAGGGGCAGGAACCACAGCACAGTGGTTCCTTGTAGAGCCTGGTTGTGCCTGTGGTGATGCTGAGAGCCACGACTGTGCATTCTGACAAAAACACGATGTGAGCAAAAGATGCCCCAGGAGAAGCAAGGACAAGACATTCAGAAGTGTTCTGCTATTGAAGAAGACACAAAAGAAAATCATCACTGAAGTCTGTGCAAGTGGAGGGAGGGCAGGAACCAAGCCCAGGAGCACACTGAGCACTGCTGATCTCTGCAAGCTGCGATTCTGGCCCAGTTTCTCTAGCCCTGACTCACATGAAATTTTCCTGTGAAGCATTTATATCTGGCAGCATATAAATATCATTAAAAGCAAACCCAACCAACAGGTCATATTTAAATCATCTGAATGTAAGAATTCTTTCAGAAGTGACCTGAGTCTCCTGTCACTTTTTAGAATTTCTGTATGACTTCCTCTAAACTGCTTGCAATGTCACCTTGCACTTAATATTTATGGTCTCATTATTGGAAAGGTTTGGCCAAGTTATTTGTCCAGTTAATCTAAGTATAATCATCATGATATTTTCAGTGGGTGACAATAGCCAGGAATCATCAATATTGCCTTTACCAACTATCATTTGTCGCATTTTATGAATTATTTTGGAAGTGTTTAATAAGCAAGGCATTGTACTTAAGCTGGGAATTTTGCTTTTAAATTTCCATGACATAAGCAGAACACCAACAGCATTTTTGTCATGGTGTGACAGCACATGAGAAAAGTAGCTATGCTTAAAAGCAAATTTTTCATTGCCTAAACATGCTACCAGTTTCAAGGTTAATCCTTTGCACTGGCCTGGGCTACATGCAGAGACCCAGGGCTGGTACCTCTCTCACTACAGCATTCAACAAGAGTCAGGTTTCTCAGCCTAAAACCCTGAATCCTTGCTTCTTTTTGGACAGCAACAAAAGAAAACCAAGACGCAAAGTTACAAAGGCACTTTTCCTACTTAAGTTATTCAACCCAGTGTCCTTGACATGTTTTGCTTCTCTGTTGTAGAAAATAGAGGGATTTTATTAAGAGTATGTTTTTTCTGTGTGCCTTCAGTATCACATGGTCACGTAGGTCTCTTGCCTGTCACAACCACAATTGTTATTTGTGTGTTGGAGTTATTTGGATGAACATCAGACACTTGTGCTGCTGCAGAGACTCTGAAAGCTGCAGCCTCCAGAGCAACCCTGTTCAGCACAATGGCTTTCAAACTTGTTTCATCTGATTGCTCACACATCTTTGCTGAGGAAATGGACGGTAAAGACGTTCAGGGCAGGAAGGTTCAGGGCTTTGACTGTTTCATTACAGATAATTCACAGAGAAGCTGCCTCCTCTAATTTATTTTTTATCTTGATAAAATGACAGCCAAAAATCTTTGACATTCCAGGCCAGCCTCAGTTCTCACTTGGCAAAGTCACTCCCCTGGGAGTAGATTTTGGCTTGCTTTTAACTGCTTGCTGCTGCTGTGTGATGTTTGGATTAGACTAATGTGTGGGGAAAGCTAATTTGTTCCTACGCTTGAGGCCACAGGCTAGAAGAATTCAGGCAATCTGAACTCATTCCTGAACCTCACTCTGAGCTCCTGCATGACCTTGAGTAAGAAACTCAAACTTTCTGATGTTTTATTCCCTCATTTGAAAATAGAGCTTTGCTTTCTGCCTCGTACCCCCCATGCCTTGCATTTGTGCAGTGATTGCTCATAAATCCAGAGGACTCTCTCTTACCATGTGAACATACAAATGAAGCCCTGAATTTCCTGAAGACTGCCGTGGCTCTCTGTAATGACAATGTTGATACATGGCTGTACAAGGTACACTGTGTCTCGGGTACATTTAATGAGCTTGGGGATCCTGCTGGGGACACAATGCCATTTACATTTCCCACCTCAGCACTGCTGTTTGGTGCAATTCAGTATTCAACTCAGCTGAAGTTTCTGGAGATGAGCTCAGCATTAGGACTGTTTTGATTATTGATGTACTCAAATTAAAGATGCAAAGCCAGTAGTAATTAAAAGCATAGTCTGTTTTTTTTTGTGGTGTCCCACTGTGTTCCCTCTTTTGATATCAGGAGTTTGTTAGTAATGATTATAGAAATATGAAACCTTCATCCTAACTTTCAATACACTTGCTGAATCACGGCTGTTTATCTTACTAGCTCCTGTAATATCTCACTACACTCCTGTAACAACACACAAATAACACAGTATGTACCTGCCCCATAGCATTGTCATCTGAATTGTAATTGCATTTTGTGATGATGGCAATCTGGTTGGGAGAAATCAAAGCCTTCCATGCATTTTAAATTCATTGTTGAAATTCCATGAAAATGTATGAAAGTGGACCTTGCCTTCCTAATGACACACAGCTCTACAGTCTTGTAATGCACGTCCAGTCACACGAGTTGAATTATTCTGCATAATCCTGAGAGGCTGTTATTGATTCCTGTGGGGCATAGAAGATCTAGTACTGTAAAAAGAGCTCATAGCTGAGTTGAGCTGCACAACTGACAGTCAGGATGAACGATGTGATCAACACAATTCACTATTTGGTATTGAAAAAGAAATACATGTGAAAAGTATCAAGATATTTGGCCTGCTAAAAGGCACCTTTATATTCAGTTTCTGATTTGAAAAATTAAGGCCATCTCTTTGAAGGCAGGGATTTAAACAGGAAAACCACAAATTTTTCAATTCTTGGTCTAGTTGGATCTGAGTATCTGTTAAAAATTAAGAATGTGCTTTAAACAGATCAAGATTAAAGGTGTGCTATGTGTAGATATTCAGTTCCAATGCAAATGTCTTTGATGAATGATTTCTTTTGGTGACAGAAAAATGTCTAAGAGGGAAAGGGGTTAATCTGAAGAAAGCAGAGTGAATTAATCCATGAAAACCCTCCAACAGCAGCCGTGTCTGTTTCTTGCAAAGGATAATTAAATCTATTGTCAACATCTCTAAGGAGGACACAGAAGTTGGTGCATAATTAAAGACTTAAAAATGCAATCTGAAAAATGGGAACCAAAATTAAAAACCTTGAGCTGTGTTTGTTCCATTTTTTAGTACTTCCATTTAGATACAAATACTCCAAGTCAATAAGGAAAATGCATTATTACAACTTTCAGGGCAAGATTCCAATGGTGTGTTTGAGAGAGAAAATCCTGCTAGGTGGGTCTCACATCTCACATCCTTCAAAATATTGAGAGCTGCCTAAGAGTTACCAAAATATAAAAGCATTGTTGCAAATTGTATGGGATATTTCTTGATATATCCTGAGGCAGAAAGCTTCACAGAGCTTTTTGGTAACGTCCAGGTCTTGTGTTCACTCGATGCTCCTTTGGTCAAGATGCAGGAAAAAGGTGCACTTGGCTTAGGAGGCAGGACCAGGAAGGAGGGAGAGAGGAATATTTTGTATATGCTTGAAAAAAATCTGCACATTTAATGAGAAAATCCCTTAGAAAATAGTAAATGTCCGATTTATATTTTTGTAACTAATGTTCTCTCGGCAGGTAAAGAGTTTAATATGAGGCTTTGGGAAACTTGTTTTTAATTATGAGGACTTCTTTTTTGGCTAAAAGTTCTTAAGGCTCAGGATATGCTTAAGCCTTTGGCTGCACAAAAGCCTTTGTCAAGATTGCAGTGTACTTCAGGTTATATCCAAGTTTGTGCATATTGCAGAGAAAAGGGTTAAGCTAAAGAAAACACAATGAATTAATCCATGGAAACACCCCAACAGCAGCAATGTCTGTCTCCTGCAAGTAATGCAGGGAGTTTTGTATCTGCCTTAATTGGGCTAAAAGCTTCAGAAAAATCCTACTGTGGAGTATTGAGCTTGACAAAAATAAAAATGAGAAGCTGGAAAAAGCAATAGGAGGGGTTTTTGCAAGACGTGTGGATAGACATCAAATTGTTGCAGAACAAAACTTCTCTTGGTAAAACAACCTCTTGCAAGTGGCTCTGGAGAGATGCCAGAGACAGAGACAGTGACAGCTGGGTTGGTTTAAATCAGGTGTGGGCTGTGTGGGAAGTGTTTGGATTTTGGCTCATCTGCTTTCTCTTCTTGTCTTACTCTGCCCGTGCTCTTACCTGGCACAGATAAAATATTAGAACAAGTCAAAACACAGGCTCTTTGTTTTCCTGACTTTTCTCTCCCACTTCCTAAGCTAGAATTTTAAATGGCAGATTTTCAAAATGTGGCATTTTCAGAGGAGTGTTATAGCCTGGATCTTACTCAATGGAAAATGTATTTCCAGTTCAAAGGGTTTTAAAACAGGAAAGGCCAAGACAAATGAAAAAGGCTGGGAGAACAGCAGGTGAAGCTCTTCTCTAATTAGATTTTCAGTTGTTTCTGTAGCATCTTCTCTACCTAGAAATGGAAATCTTGCATGCCTTAGAAATGGCTCCTTTCCCTGCCTACACCTGTAGACAGTGTGAGTTTCATGGCTATGGACAAAATGAAGACAAGAGAAAAAATGATTCATTAGAACACAAATTTTGACACTTGCAGAAATGAGGCTGGCTATTCTAAAAGGCTGTCATCTTTTTCACCTTCTACTGCTACCTCAGATATGTGAAAGAATATTCCATGACCTGAAACAGATTTAAACTGCATGACCTTGATATCCTCAGAACTGTTAAATCCAGCAGGGGCACTATGGTGGCACAGTTTTAACCATGTGAAAAACTTTTGTCCCAGCAGCATGGCTTTACTGTTCAAACACATCATCTCCTCTTGAGTACGAAAAGATGACTAAAACCCTAATAATGATGGACCTGGAGGAATGGGGAGAGCATCAGAGGGTACTTCAGAGATCTCTGTATTTAGTCTGAGTCCAGCACTGGACTTGAGATAATAACAGTTCCCATCTGAAAGAGGTTCAGAGGTCATGTGTGGTCACTTCTGGCTGTGGAAGTGGATCCCATTTGGTGGCTTCTGTTGGCTCAGTCAAACAGACACCAGTGCCCAAAGCACTGCATCATGTTTGAAACTGCACAGCTTCTAATAACTCAGGTCAACAAAGGACATAACTCTGTTCTTAAGACCATTTCCCCTGCCACACCTTCAGTCTGGGATTCTCCACAACAGAGCAATACAGTTATTCTTGCCTCATCTATTTGGAAGCAGCAGAGCTTCCAGCAGGATGCCAGGGCAGTGTAAAAAAAAAATTCAGTCTATTAAAGGAGAGCATCTGGGAAAATTTGTTGCTCTTGCCACCATCAGGTACAGCTCTGCTCTTTTTGCTTTCCATTCAGGCAAGCCTCCACTATTTCTGCCTTCACAACAAGTTATAAAAAGACTGAGAGAACATGAGGAATATAAAAGTTCTGTTACAATTTCCTCTTATAGTCACATACATTCACATATCTCTTTCTGTTGTGGAAACCTGCCTGATTCCAGCCATTCACACTGGTACCTTTCACTCCAGAAAGGGAATTGGGGCATCAAGAGGACTGTTTCTCTCTCAAAAGAAAAGAGGGAGAAAAAGGAAGAAAGGAAAGAAAGAGGAAACAAACTCAAAGTAAATGGAATCTCCTTTCAGCCAGTTTTATGAAAGGTTTTTAATGATCAGCTATGAATTTTCCATCATTCCAGATAGTGGACACTGCTTCAGTGCACCAGGCTGTGGAGGTGCTCCACAGCAGTAGCCAGCAAGTGTGAATATAGCCAGCATGAGACCATGCAGGGCCAGAGGGGATTCCCTAGGGAGTGGGGATGTTTACAGGTAAGGCAAGATGCTGCATCTTACATGGAAGGGAGGGTTCTTCAGCAGCCATGGTTGTTTGACAGGTCAGTGCAGGCTGTGCCTCTGGTACATCAGACCTTCTTACTGTTCTCTGCTTGTCTCAGTCACCCCACTGATCCCATCCCTCAAAAGCAAAACAGAATCTGTTTGAATCCTTTCTCTTTCACCACAGGGAGACCTCCAGAGATCCCTCATTCAGGTGGATTTTGGGGATGGCATCGCTGTGTCATATGCCAATCTCAGCTCAACAGAAGATGGGATCAAGCACATCTACCAGAACGTGGGCATATTCCGAGTGACCGTGCTGGTGGAAAACAGCCTGGGTTCTGACAGTGCTGTCCTCTACCTGCATGTAACATGTATGTATGCTCAAACCCCTTCTGGTTTCCTTTTAGAATTACTGCTTGTAGCTACGGGTGACATTTGGAAGTTGGCAGCTGGGTCTAGAGTGGTGGGAAATGATGAGTGTTCACCTGTCCTCCAGACAGATTGTTGATTCCACATGAGAGGAAATGTAGATTCATTAAGGAAAAGACCTCTAAGATCATCGAGTCTAATCATTAACTTCTGCTTTTTAAACCATGGCTTACCTCTAATTTTGGATAGTCTAATTTGGGACACCTCAAAGGACTGTCCAGCCTTTCTGAAATGCACTTTCGTTATCAAGCTTACACTTCCAGAACAACAAAGACACCCAGGGATCTTTAATGACTTTTGAAAGCTTTGAATTTTATTTTGTGCGTGTTTTCCCCTCTAATGAAACACACCCACCTCTGGGATGGAAACCAGTGCATTTCAGTGTTTCTGTTGTCATGGGAACCAAAAATCTTTGTATTAAATAGTATTGCAAAAAAAAATGTTATCCTCACATTACTTTTCTGCTATTCTTTTTAACATTTTTATACTTCATATATGTGTGATTTACAACTGGAATGTATCCCAAGTTCTTGGATAAAACCAACATTGTATTATGTCATATTTATTCTAGCACATGGTTATGAATGCAAAGGGTCAATCTATTTATCAAAATTTTGCAACAATCCTAATGGATTTTGTTTGGGGACATAATTTTCTTTATACAGTGGGGTTTTTTTGTGTGTTATTTATGTTTTCACTGTGTGCCTCTGTGCCAGATTAACTGACAAAAAAGAATTGCATTCAAATTACGAAAATTATTACTGAATTACAAAACTGAAGTTATGTTTACAGAAATATTGTTTACCATCTACCAAACTAACTCCACATATTGTGTAGATGGTTTGGCATATTCCCTACACTTTACCTCTGGTTTTGGGGTTAGTTCACACAGCATGAAAGCAGCTGCCTTTCCAGGGTAGGAGAGCTCTTTAATGGAGAACCATTGTGTCAACAGATGGGAACAGTGGGAGGCAGGAGTGTGGGAGATGGGATTTTTAAGAAGAAGGACTAGAGGAGCAGGAGCAAATACCCATCTGAATATTCCCCTTCAAAAACACCTTTGGTTGGCAGGTGTCCAGCCTTCAATCACTCATAGTATCTTTTAGGTCTACAGCTGCTGTAATTAATTTTCTTGAGACAGTGAAGGCTTATGAACCATTTTGATTGTTTAAGCTGTACAAGAAATAAACAATATTCAGATTTTTTTGTGTGACTTAGCAGCTGATAGTGTATGTTGCTGTGCTTTGCATAGGTAATTGCCAGCACAGGATTGAAACACTGAGTGATCATTGCAGCCAGCCCAGATTTTTTGTGCCAGACTCTCTGAGGAAGTGACAGCTCTAAGGGATATGTCTCACCTTTCTCTACATGACAAGAATTAGGGACTGCAAAACAGGTTACAAATAGGCATGGTGCCACTCACACTAGCAATAGACTTGCTGAGGACAGGGATGTAGAGTAGATCCAGTGCTCTGCAGAGTCTAACACCCTGATCCACAATAGCTTCTAAATCCTGTTGGAATGCTTGCATTGCCACTCAGCCCTCTGCTGAATATTCTGCTTGGGGTGTTTGAGCTTGGCCTTTGGGAAGCTTTTCAAAAATATCTGTTCTTAAAATAGACACACACACACTGCATTGTAAGATCCACAAACAAGTAATGTGCAGGCTGAACATCCAGAGTTTTAGGAAGGGATATAAACTGGGTGATCCCTGGTTACAGGATTAATGCATGAGTGTCTGCAGACAGATCTGGGCCTTCCAGCACCTTCCTGCAGGAAAAAACTGCAGGCACTGAACCTCGGTGCTTGTGGTGTCAGAGATAAAAGTAAAGCCTTCATCCCATGCTCTCCTCATCCTGCTGTAGCCATGTGGCCAGGTCACAGGAGCAGTGCCTTTCCTGCAGTTACTCAGGGATTCAGAAATGCAGGTTGCTGTGAGACAGGAGCATTTTGAGTTGAATGGTCAGTATAAACTGTTGTATGTAAACTGCTCGAGCCAACAGCCTGTCTCTTAGCTGTCCTGACAGGTCAACATTTTCTCCTGGAATGTTAGTTATGGATTTGCCTGGGTGCATCAGAATAACATCACCTGTGTGAGTGAGCCTTTTCAGAAGCTTCTTCCTTTCAGTTTTCTGGAGCTTGTACAGTTTTTTTTTCCCCTGGGAGAGACGAAGGCCATAGCCTCCATAGCCCTGCATGAAGCTCAGAAATTAATTTTCTTGAATCCTCTTCAAGCTCACCTGGAAGAAAGCAGTCTCCTACTAGAAGGGCCTATCCAGAGTGAGCTATCCCCATCTGCTGGCCAGATAACAGCTCAGCTTTGCAGCCTCCTTGACCCAGCTGTGCTGGGAAATGCTCAGGCAGATTTGGGCTGCTTGAGCCATTCTTTCCTATCCCTTCCTAGCCTTTGTATGGGGAAGGTCCAAGGAGGTGCTGGGCGCTCTCTGCTGTGCAGGGTCATTTGAGATCACAGCAGTGATGCAGTAATGTTGGAGAGTATCAGACTTTTCATGGGCTCCATCATTACAATTGTCACTGCATTTAGCTGGGGAAATTGCTGATTTTCAGGTCTTAGGGTCTTGCTGAAAGCAGGAACAGCATGATGATGGAAAGGGACCTGAGCAGGAGGATGCCATTAAAATCATAAGGGTGAAATTGTGGCATCTCATGAATTCCAAGAGTGTTGACTACTGCTTATAAAAGGCAAAATAAGCCATGGTCTCATGTATAACAGGCTTTGGTTAATCTGATCATGGATATCTCTTAATTGGGCTACTTCAGTTTAAGCAGTGGCTGTGTCTACAACCCAGAGAAAGATGCATTTCAGTAATAATTCAGGAACACTGGTCCTTACCCTGGCATTTATACAGTCTGATTCAGGAGAGCTTCTTTCCTCACTCTGCCTATTGTGTTATACAGGATGCTTTCTCCAGAGTATGTGGTGTTCATTTAGGCTGAAAAGCAAGGTCTAAGTGGTGATTCATGCATGTGATATATCCTGAATGATCCTCCCTGGAAGTACATAAAATTGTCTAGCAATGCATCTCAACTCCATATGAACAATGCTAGGCTGTGGTTCTCATCACTGGGGAGCTCACACATAGAGGATGTGTAGATGTGGCCTTAATTTGTTTAAGGAACCCACATCCTCATGTCAGCTGAGATTTCTTTATTTTTCTTTCCCTGTCACTCAGGACACTTGTTTTGTTCTCTTAGTGAACAGTCAGAACACATTTTAAAAATAATCTATAGAACAAGATTTAACAACAAAGGCCCATCTGTTTCCAGAAGATGGGAAATGTGTAACCCTGGGCAGAATGTCACTTGTTGAATGAATTATGTTCTGTTTATACTGAAGAAATAAAAGAGTTTATTGATGAAAAGGAGGGAGTATAAGGTAATGTTAAAATGTAGACACTCAGTGAATGGCTGCCTTCAGAAAGAGTTTCTGCTGAAGTTCACCAAATCATAGCAGTTTTCAAGCAAAGAGACTTCATGTCTACTGAAGCTCTTTGTCCTGCACATTCTTGTCTTCCCAGTAAAGGCTATATTCACACAACAGGGCTCTGTCCCTATTGTAAAAGTCATATAAGCTCCTGACTTCATGACGTTCATGCAGTAGAGAGTCCAGGTTTGTCAGCTCCAGGTACAGGGGTGGCTCCTGTTCTCTGAGGAACAGACTGAAGCCTTCCTCTCTAGAAATGGTACCAAGCCAAAACATTCTGCCATGTCCCACGGTGATTTAGGGAAGACTTTTCTTCCTTAAACCAGTGGATATCGTACCCAGGTTGACTTTGTACCTGCTGCTCCTGTTTCTGCAGGTCCCCTGGAACACGTCCACTTGTCTCTGCCCTTTGTCACCACGAAGAACAAGGAGATCAACGCCACAGCAGTGCTGTGGCCAAGCCAAGTGGGAACACTTACTTATGTCTGGTGGTTTGGGAACAACACAGAGGTTTGTATTCCTGATTGACTGAGGTCAAAATAGTCCTGGAGGAGCTCTCTGACAGAAGAGGGGGGGAGAGAGGGATCTGGGAATGCTTCTATGTAGTCACATATGCAAGAAAACCATAAACCAAATACCAAGATACTAATGGTCCTTGGAGGTACCAACATGGAAATGTAAGTAGTGCCTTGTGTTTGTGGCTGTGACTTAGCTGCAGGGTTTATTCTGTTTCATGCAAGTTGCCAGTAGCTTTCTTCCTTAATTCCATCCAAGGTGAACATAGTTAACCAAAATCTGGAAGAGCTTCTACTATTTTTCTTCATCCTCCTTTTTTCAGTAACAATAAGGAAAAAAAGTAGGGGCTTTTAAAGATTTTTTTTAGGAGAACAATCTTTCAAGCTGAAGCTGTTTTTATATCTGGAACTGACCTATGCTGAACCCCAGCACCCTATGCTAAACCACATGTGCAAAAGGACCTTATTATCATGTGCTACAAGTGGATGAAATGGTTCTCAGCACACGTCCTTGCCCCAGGGCTCTGCTCAGATGTGAGAGTATCATCCTTCAGGTTCTGCTGCCTCTCTGCTTGCAGTCTTGGTAAATCTGCACAGACATTAGAACTGTTACTTCACATATAATTGTGGATAAAGTACCCAGAAACCCTAATTGGTTTCTGAGGGAAGAGGTTGTCATGGATTTTGTAGAGACAAGAGGGACCTTCATAATCACCCATGGTTCTCTTCTGTATAATGCAGATTGGAGAGTTTGATCAGTACCTTCTGCTTTATTTAACTCTTCGTGACTAAGGCAGAACCTGACATTTTGTTGTTGTTTTGCATTAATAATTTTCCTCAGACGATAGAAAATTCACTGCTTCTCCTTCTGACCATCTCCTCCAACTATTTCCCCAGAGCTAATTATTCTGAGCTTTGAACTCATGCACTGTGTTTTGTAGTCTGAATTTATCTAGTCGGAGATTCAAGCTGTTGGATCTTGTTATGCCTTTTTTAGTAGATTAAAGAACTCTGTACTATCAGCAATCTTCTCCCCCTAGAGGTACTTACAGGCTGTGATTTTCACCTTTTAACCTTCCCTCTGATCTCCTAAACTCCTAAGTGATCAGGGTTGGTCTGATTCTGTTCCCATTGAAGTGTGACTTTTACTATAGACTACAATGGAAACAGTTTGACTTAATACTGGGTGCTTTGAAGATCTCACCCGGAGTTCATTAACAAGTGGAAATAGAAGTTAAGGCAGAGTCTGCTGAAGGACACAACTCATTGATAAACTGGTTCACAGCTAAAAGGATCTGTGTCCTCTCAAGCATCAGCACTTACCAAAAACCATCTCTGTATCTAAGGGTGACATGGGATAGCAAATGTAGAATCTGAATTTGGCTGGTTCTGTGACAACCCCCTTGAGTCACCTGAAATAAAGCACTTACACTTGATTAAGGAAAGGAGTGTGCTACCTGAGCAGTGAGTGTTGTAGGACTTTATATCAGGATCTGGGCCTCTCTGGGGAGTGAGCAAAGGTGGGTATTTTACATGGGATCCAGAACAACCAGCATGCTAAGTGGAAAGGAAAGGAATGTTAAAACACAGGTCCTTTGGAAATTATAGGTAGCTTACTCTGAGCTTCAGGAGGACATCCCTGTCTGTGATTTGTGTGCCCTCTCTAGGAAATTAGCTGCCATGTCACAGGGCCCCTCCTGAATCTGAAATTTTCAGTCTGGAACTAACTTTCCAAACCATCCCAATAGGCTGGAGAGCCAAGCTCATTTTTGCTTTTCCTCTCCAGCCAAATTAACTGAATTTTTTCCTTTTATGATGTATTTGCAGCCACTGATCACATTGGAAGGGAGCATCACATTCACATTTTCTGTGGAAGGGATGAACACCATCACTGTTCAGGTCTCAGCAGGAAACACCATTCTTCAGGACACAAAGACTATTGCAGTGTATGGTGAGTTCTTCCCCTTTTATTTCACACAGGATTCTCCATAGTCAACATTTAGAGAGCCAGGTTAGCTGGCAGCAACAAGAGATCTTTATTCCAGAATGCTTTGAGTGAGATTATAAATTGAATTCCAGTGTTACCAGTCCAGCATAATGTCTCTGAAGGCCACTGACTGACATTAGTGCAGACTGACATGATTGCAGAACACTGAGCTCCTTCCCAGAGCCCTCTGCATGTGCTCCATCACTCTTTGATCATCCTACATGATTGTCAAAATGTTATTTTGTAAGCTGGTTTTCCCCCTTCTTGGCCAGCAGAGGCCTCTTAACTCACACAAAAGCTGCTCAGACTGAAAGATAAATCAGTGCTGTGTGCTGCAGTTCTGCACAGAAATCTGTACTGATTTGACACTGTTCTCATGCATCACAAGCAGTTAGGGCACACAAATACCATATAATGTAGATGGAACCTAAAATCCACTGGGAATCCCAGCTTTAGCTGATAGTGATCAATGTGGGCATCTCTGTTAACAGAAAGAGATTGGGTACATTTTCCAAGGCTAGTCCTCTCCCCACATTTATCCCTGTTCCCTTCCAATTAAGATCTCTAGGGTTTGGGGCACATCTGTGAGAGTCCAGTCACAGCTTCCTACACAGGGTGTGCCTGCTCCAGAAGTCAAATTGAAGGTAATATTTCATTTACATTCCCAGCACAGCTCCCTTTGCAGTGCTACTCATCCACTCAGGTAAGGACTTTTCCAGTTCCAAGGCACTCCAGTGATGAATTTCCCAGATTCTCCACATCTCTCAGGGAGTCTCTCAGGCACACTGCTGGATTCCCTCCCAGTCTGTGCACCATCTGCAAATTGATTAAGCAAAACATGATCTGCAACAGGTTTCTCAAGGTTCTGACCCCTCGTTTGGCATTAAGGCATTTCAGTCTTTACTCACCACTCTGTCATTGTGTCTGCAGAGAAATTTCAGTCCCTGAGGTTATCGTTCTCTCCAAACCTTGATGACTACAACCCAGATATCCCAGAGTGGAGAAGGGACATCAGCAGAGTAGTCAAGAGAGCTCTGGTGGAGGTAAGCTGTGTGCATAACCTGTGTTGCAAGAGTTCTGGTTCCTAATTTGTTCCTTCCTTAGGATTGGATCAGCTGTTCTCTCAAGGTGTCTTTGTTTCTACCACCCAGAAATGGAGAATTGATAGTGTTTGAGGCCAGCATCCTAAATTTTAGACAGGTGAAATGATCTCATCCTATGACAATCTGGTGCCCAGATTCAGCCTTTGTGTAAAGCAATGCAGTTCTAATGGAATTGCAAATATGCTGTAGAAAACTTGTGAGACCAAAAATTAAACAATTTTACTATGCAGAAGAACACCACAGTACTTTAAGTCCTTCGTGTAGCATGAGGCTCACAGGGCAGGATTGGATGCTGGTTTTCCCATCAACACTGTAGAGAATTTCTGAAGTTCCTTCTTTAAGTATGGAACATAATGTCACAAAAATATTCTAGTGTAGCTGAAGATTTGGATTTGAAATGGAGGAGGTAAGAAGAGTTAGAAGAAATGGCTGGGGTTTCTCAGCTCAGTAGAAAAATAGTGCAAGGAATTGTGTTGAAATTGAAATAGTGTTTCTACTTTTTTAAAAATAAAGATATTCAGATTTTGAAAGGACAAAAGGCTTATCGCTGTTATTAGCAAGCTTAAGTGTTATTTGTGGCATCATCTGTGCAAAAAACTCCAGAAAAACTGTGTACTAATCAGGTGCAAAAACTTGTCTGGATTGTTTCTGAGATATTTTTTTTCTGATATTTTGTTAAAAGACAGGGGGAAAGGGAAAAAAAGAGCATTTTTCTGGAGCTCGATCTTCTGACATATTTATGTCTGTATCAAGTATTCAAGGATGCATTTATCTTCAGGATGAATTTTCAGAATATAAACATCTCAATAAAGCAAAACCAGACCATAAAAAAGGAAGAATTGTAAAACCACAGTACCAAGGCTGCATTTCAAAAGCAGAGCAGTGAAAACACAGTCTTTTTGTTATTTGATTAAAAAAAATAAAAATTGATAGCTAATTATCCATTTTTATATAGCTAAATCATTCACCTTAAACAAGCCTTTGTGAGAAGTTCCTGTAAAAATTAAAGATAAACTCAGTAGATTTCTACAGCAATTAAGTAAAAGGTATAAAAATGAGTCAAATAACTAAATAATTCAGTAGGAAATTATAGCTGTGCTATAGAATTTTTATGAACTTTTATTAAAGTATTATATTCTTATTACAGAATATCATCAGATTTGGATAAAATCCTGCATACAAAATTATAGTTCTGTACTAAAATCTGATCTTCACTCTGAGTAGGGATAATTTTATATTATCACAAAATATCCTATTTCTTGTTTTGATCATAATTATTTGCTTGCATCATTGATTTTATGATTACTGTCTCTCACTTTTGAAAAAAAATAAATTGTTCCCAGCCTCTGAAAATGAATGCAATGCTGTGTCTTTCTTGACACCTTAAAGCAACCTGTCAGGCAAGCACAAAAAATGCAAGCCCTGGCTTCACAGATACTCGTGAAGAAAATAAGAGACCTTTATATATTTATAAGGGTTTTTCTCTAAATCCACATTACAAAACAAAGCAGAATAAAAAAAGAGAACAAAGGCACATGCTTTTCCTTGGCATGGTGGAGGGGACTCCACAAGGTTTTCTCCAGACTGGCAGCAGTCACGCCTGGGTTATCCACAGGACAAGCTCAGAAAATGGCGATTTATGATCAGTTTTGCCTTTGCCTTTTGCCTTACCTTTGTCCTGCATCCACCATTTCCTCCAGTGAGCACCTCCTCCACGTCTTTGCTCCTGAACTACCATGGAGAAGAATTCCTGATATTTAGGTCCAGGTAATGTCTGAGAGGTTTCCAAGTCCTTGGGAATCTCTGTGGTGCATCTGTGATCTGTCCTTGTGTTTGAGGGCACTTTTTTCCCACCATTTTAAAAATAACCTAACTAAATTCAGCACTTGAGGAAAACTTCAAGTTAAATCAAAACCTTGAGATTTAAGTGCCTTTGGTGGATAATTCACAGCAGAGAGGCAATGGAGGAAGATTCATCAAATTATGTTTCTACTTCCTTTGGCTAACAAAACTTCCTGAGGGCCAAACTATGTCCTTTTCTGGATAATAACACAACAATCTGGTTGTGTAGCATCAGCTGAAACATAAGACTGGAGATGTCCCTGGTGGTAATGCCTGTAGGGTACCTTTTATGTGTCAAAACTAGGGGTAATAAAGTCCTAACTTAAACATTTCAGCCAATGAGACATACGAGATACATCCTGCATGGTGAAAGTACTGTGATGAAGAAGCTCTCAGCATTCTCTCCTTAACAAAGAAACTCTCAGCATTCAGTGCCATCCACACTGTTTCTGTCTCCATTATTTCTGTATCAGGCTACAGGTATTTCCAGCAAGCACGTTCTGGTTGCAGTGCTCCCTGGCCTGCCCACCTCTGCTGAACTCTTCATTTTACCATATCAAGATGCCACAGGAGAAAAAAAAAGAACAGCAGCAAACCTAGAGCAGGTATCGTGTCCATTATTTGGAGAAGTGTATGTTCATGCATTTCTACGTGTGTGTATATATGAGATTTATATCTGTGTATGTATATATGGGATTTGTATATGGTTAGAACTGATAATTTTGGTAGGAATGCATCTGATTCATCTTATGCATCTAAATCATCTGGGGTGAATGTTGCACACCTCTTTATGGTTTTTTTTAATGTTTCTGATTTTTTGGAGGTTGGTTGGTTAGTTGGTTGGTTTGGGGAGTTTTTTGTTTTGTTTTTTTTTTATCCCCAGCATTGGACACAGGCTTTGGAGCTGTCTTTAGGAGTCTAGATGCCCATTTATGTTCCCTTAGAAATATTGTTTACTTCATGGAAGCAGGAAGAAAGAAGGAAGGATTTAGGGGATGTTTCCTGCCAGCAGGAACTGTGGAGTAGCTCCATGAAGCAAAGTTTATATCATTGCCAGGAGTCTAAAAAGCACTGGAGGACAGAGCTGAGTGGTAAACCCGGGCAGTTCAGAACTTCTTTAGCTTAAGGCACAGGGATGGGGTTGGACAATCTGCCTGCCTTCTTCATGGTGCTGGAAGTGGGGCTGAACCACTGTGCATTGTTTTCTCTGTGAATTGCTGAAATAGGCTGTGGTGACTGAAGGACTCTGTCTCTCTGCAAACCCAAAAGGCCCAACCAGATGGGCCTAGCAGGATTGTAATTGGAAAATAAAACACTCTGTTGGGCAAAAATCCTGAAATGTCATAGAATTATGGAATTGTTAAGGTTGGAAAAGACCTCTAATGCCATTGAGTTTAATTGATAACCTAACACTGCCATGTGCACCACTAAACTATGTCCTCTTGTCCCAGAGCTCCTTTGCTGGCTCTCAGCTTATTAGTTCAGATTCCAGGGGCAGAGAAAACTTTGGCCCTGAGGGAAGCACCACTGTACCTCTGCCTCTCCATACTCATGTCCATGCCTCAAACAATGTTAACTTAGCTGTGAGCCTCAAACCTCCAAGTCACCCATATTCTTAAGCTTTCCCTTGCTCAGCTTTCCTAGCTGTCATCTTTTCTTTTGACAAATGACTTCTTCAATTTTCACCACCCATGTAATAAACAAAAAATATGGAGATTTACTGCTCTGCAAAATCTTTCCTTCCTTTTCTCCTTCATTTCCCCTTCTCTTCACTTCCTTCACAAATTGGCAAGTAAGCCAGTCCATAAACTTTCAGATTTACATCTGACCCAGCTCTGGCACTCAGCAGCTTACTCTTTCTCCCTCTTTTTATGCCACTCTTTTTCTCTCTTGTAAAGACAGAGTCTTTGTGGCTGTGGAGGAAGGAAGCCCTGGCAGTGCTGTCATGGCCGTTTTCATGGATAAGAAGAAATGTCATTTTCAGTGTGATTCCATCAACATCTCTGGCATCCTGCAGGGTCCAAATAGTAGCCTTTGGAGGAGAGAGGAACTATTTGGCGTTTGCAACCAGTTCTTTCCTGTGAAAAAAAAACAGGATGGTCAGGAATTTTCTTCCTGGTCTCTGGGTGCTGCACTCCCCTTCCTAGTAATTCTAGTAGTAAATGGTGGGGTTTTCAATGAGAACTGCCCAAGGGCCACAAAAGGTGTCTCTGCCCTCTGCTCTGAAGCACATTCTGATACTGCTCCTGTTTTGTCATCCATTTTTGCCTGTGATCTTCCACCGTGCCTTGCCCAAAGTGTTTCAGAGCTCATTCCAACAGCCTCTCCCTGTGCTTGAAGTTGCTGGGATGAGTATTGGGAGCAGATGTTTTGATGGCTACAGCTTAAGTTGCTTCTGAGGTACTTCTGATGTATAGTGTTCTTTTCTGGTAGGAATAGAAGTCTGTTTTGTGCTCAAGGGCAAGGAACAAAGCTAATTCAATAGCTTATTCCAAGGCACGTAGGTGAGTTTGTCAGTTTGCAGGTGCACACCCAAAGGAGTTACAGTTCTGAATAATTTTTTTTTTTAAATTTAGAAGAGAAACTTCCAAGTATACAGGGAAAAAAAGTGGGAATAGTTTACACAAGTACTGCAATGGAATAAGATAGCTTAAGGAAGCACTTCATTATAGAAATTCCTTTCTCCATAGCCTGAGCTAGACCACTGTTCTGCCATGGGTAACCATGAGGGCTGTATGTGGTTTCATGGACTTTCACATTTACCAGTAAATCTCATTCATATTTAATAACCATGGGAGGCTTACATTTTGCTGTTTTCCCCTGAGGTGGATTATGCTGTTCTGTTTTTATCTGATACATACTCATTTGGCTTTGTAAACATACTTTTATGTCTTTCTGTCCAGCCACTCATCTTTAGGTAGATAATTCCCACTGACTTCAGAGGCACTTAGATGTCCACTGTCCCTTAAAAATCTAGGTCTTGGTTTCCCATTTATCAAAGTCAATGATAATCCTTTTTGCCACACATGTTTTATGAGTCTGAACACAGTAGCTAGTAGTAGTGGGACTGCAATAGTGCCCCATTTGACAAATGTACATTTCCATGCAGTTTTCCATGAGGGTGGTGCATGTGTCTCATGGTAAATGTAAATGTAATTTTCTTTATGTGGTTAGATGGTAAATGTAATTTTCTTGATGTGTCACTTTCAAACAATTGTCCCAAATTATTTTTTATGTATACATAGAATCAATTATTGTCATACCTGTTTGCATTTAGAAATATGAACTCTGCATTCCTAATATTTTTCATTGGAAACTAAAGTGCCATTAACAAGTTTGACTTTTAGCTGTTGACAACTAAGGAATAGTGCTACATGTGAGACTGGGGAAGTTTTCTCAATGTGCAACATAGGACAACTCCTCCTAATATATGAAAACATAAATACAAAAAAAGTTCTTGATCCACTCCACTTTCTCTATTCAGTGCAAAGTTATTCTTCATAGTTTCCTAAAAAATCAAAAGGCCTTTTCACCCTGCAGAATCCCAAAACACATTCACAAAATCTTGTATTTATGACAGGAATAGTGTGGCTTTCCTTTTTTTTTTTCTTTCTTTTTTAATTTGATCATTTCATTGCTCTGCTTCATTTGACAGCAGCTGAGGACAGGCTACCATCCTGTTTAAAAATGTAGAAATAATTGGCAGTTGTCAAACACTGGTCTTCGATTTGCATGCTATGACTGCAGCACTGAAATATCTCAAATCTTGCAAAAACAGCCACACAGAATTGTCACTGGCCACTTGGGCTGGAATGCAGTTGTTACACCATCTTCATGGAAGGGTTTGGTGAATTTGATGATTACAGAATTCAGATCTGCTACTTTAAAAGCACAAAATTCTTCGGTGAAAGGCAAATCTCTAATAGTAACATTTCAAGAAATTGAGTTGTTTTTAGCACAAATCCAGTTCAAAAAGAAAGCTTGGTAGGAAAATATTCTACTTAAAATTCAGTAGAGGGCAGTTATGATTATTTATTTCAGTGTATGGTTTTACTCAATAGGAGGATTCTGAGGGTTTATCTTTTTATTTATGCATTTCACAAATTGTCTTCTTTCCACGTTGTTTGCTAGTGGGGGCTTTTTGTCAAACATAACAAATGCATTTTCTTTTAGTCAAATGAAATGTAAGCAGAAGCTATGTGAGAATTCTCAGGTGATGTTTTCATATCAAGTAAAGGTTTCAGTGTTATCCTGAATTTCTCTTTAGCTCTCCATTTGGGTGCTTTTCACTGGCCTATTAAAAATTACTGTAAAATAATGCAAAACAGGGGTAGGAGCAAATAGTTAATTACATTTTAAGCCATTAATCTTTTCTCTGAGAAGAGCTCTCAGCAACATAGTGGGATGGAGACTTTGGCAAATGGTAACATCAGCTGGTTGGTAGCCAACTGTACTCAGTGTGTTGCAGCTGTGGCCAGTGTCTGTATCCAGCCAAAGAGATGGGAAATGACATGGATGACTGAATATCAAATGGACAGTGATGAACTGCAGAGATTAAATACCTCTTGTGAATTTAAAGCCATTGATAGTGGCATTCAGGAAGCCTGTATGCATCTACCTCCTGGGATTCTTTCCTTAAAGCAGATTTAGTTTTACATCTGCTTCTTTGTAGCTGATGGAGCTTCTATCTTATTTTATAGTTTGGGGTTTTCTTTCACCCACCCTCCTAAGCTTTAGTGTTTCAGTGTATTTGCTTTCAATACTTCTCTTTTCTCTGACGTATTTCAGGTGTGCCCATCACAAAAATATTTTTAGCAACAAGATCATGACAGTGAACGCCTTCAAATCTTACAGAAAATTGTGCCAATCAGTCCTGGAAACTAAATTCCAGGAAGAGGTTGATATATGGGGTGAATCATCTAACGTTTACTGGGAGGGATTTTTTTAACATCTGTGCCTTTGAATGAAGATCAGGTCTTCCACTGGTACTTAGGGGAGGTTGGGCCAGTATTAAGAAGTAAAGGCAGATGAGGAGAGGATGGAATAATGCAAACCAAAATATCTTGTACCAGGGACTTTTTTTCTTTAGCCAGCTTTTTTTAATAGCTGCTTGTGTGCTGTAGGAGAGGCTGTGTAAATCTCTTGTCTTAATACCTTTGAGTTAACTCCTGCTATGTGACTATCAGCCCTTTTTCCCTCATCTTTTGCTCAGTGTACAGAGCAGCCCTTGATTCTCAAGACTGGTTTTGGTTGCCTTTGTTCATCAAAAGTGGATCCTGGCTTTTATGTCCAGGTTCTCTCTGGTTCATATCTGCTGTTCCATTCTTGTCCCAGAGTAACCACAGGAATATCCTCTGCCTCGTGCTCTCATTGTGTCCCTGGGTACTCCCAGCAGCTTGAGTTTAGCATCTTTCATTAAAGATCTGAAGAAATTCCTGCTGGAGCCAGTAAGTCAGTGCCTGTGCTCTTTTCAGTGCTAAGGCAAGCAAGCTTTAGAGACCCCATGTGAAGTGTCCAAGGTTATCCAGGGCAAGTGGCACAGTTTAAAGTATTCCACATTGGCCCTGACTCCTGCTTCACTTTCCTAATGTTGGTTCAAGTTTCTTCCTACTAAATCAATGTGCATAATTCTTTCCTTAGTTGTTTATTGATTTGCTCAATGAATTGAAGTGTAGCACTCATTAGTTGAGATCTTTACACAGTATCTATAAAATTATCAAGATTCTTAGCTAGTGCATACTGGCACAGTTGAATCACATTCAATTAGTCTAAAATAATTTACATCAGGGGTTTCAAAAGTCAATAAAGGTATGGGAAAATGCCCTTCTCAATGATAATTCTACTTCTTGGTTCGCATGGTTCTTTTACAGTCCTAAATCTGACAAAATGGTAAGATAGAAGCCAAATTAATTTTTGTTTTGTTCCATTTTTAAATTGGAATCTCTTTTTTTTCCATTCACAAATTGTCTGTTATTATTATTCATTATGTGTCCTTTGATGAAAAATGATACATGAGGAATAGTTCCTATTACTGAATTATTTTTGCACATCATGCTTAATTCTGCAAATGAAGCAGATAAAGTCAATGAGGCTCAGTTAAGGACCAAAACTAATTCTGAAAGCTAATTATTTTCACAAGAGAGACTCTTGAAGACTATAAATTAAGAGGTTGCTATTCTAAGAAGTTTTGTCTTCAGCTAAGTTAGTTGCATCTCCAGGAGGGAGAGATGAAGAGGGGGAGGCCTGAGGCCAACCTATTCCCCAGATGAAGGTCTGGCTGTTCACCTGGAGTTCCATTGCTATTTTTGAAACAGGTCAAAGTACTTTGATGTTTCCTTTTCTGCTTTTTAAACCAAAATGCATGCATGGTATCACTTTGAGTGCAGAAATAAAGGGAAGCACAAACCCCAAAATGTTCACCATCAAAACCTTTTCTTACCTCAACAACTGAGATCAGCCTTTGTGTGGAAATCTAATTCAGAGACACTTTATTTATACTGTAAACAAGTCAAGTCAGAGCCACTCCTGGATTAAAGTGTGATAACTGAGCTAGAGATAGGCCTGATAGAGTAAGAAAGGCAGAGGAGTCTGTTCTCCAATCTCAAAGCAAATGTCCTGACACCTTTCAGTGCACAGGTCCCCTTGGGACCATGTGAGGACACAAACATTGCCAGGTCCAGCTTTGGAGAGCAGTGTCCAATCCCTGTGTGAATTTGCCCTTGAGGTTTATGTAAGCTGCTCACTGATCTCAAACACTGGCTTTTGTAAGCCATTGTGTATGGTTTCTATTTCAGATAATTTTTAGGAGTACAGAAATGCATTTTCACTCTGCCTGTTTTGAGGAGAATCTTGTTTTCCACATAAAGAAAAATGAAAATATTGTACCAAGCAAGTAAACATTTTAAAACCATGTCTGAATGCATCTGTTCTTCCCTCAGACGTGTGTGTCAGGAATCTCCAGAGCTGCCTGAGGAAGGCAGATGTCTGATTCTCACTAGAACTTCTGGCACTTTTGAAGATCTTAGGCTGTTACTCACTTTTTTTCACTTGTTCAGATTCCATAAAGACCAAGGTAAAAAAACAAAAAACAAACAAACAAACAAACAAACAAACAAAAAAAAAAAACCAAAACAAAAAACCACAGCTGTACACAAAAAGCCACTGGGAGAACATGTAATTAATCAAGCCAAGGAAATATGCTTTATACTCTGTGCAGAATGAACAGTGTTGGTTGCTGCCAGTTTTGACACTTCGTGTGTAGTCCTGGAACAGTTATGGCTGTTTAAAGCCTCTGCTGAGACACTGATGGTCTCAGGCAGAAATTATTTTAGTCTGAGATGAATTTGTACAGGATGTTATAGAATGAATTCCTCATTCATAATCAAGTAACAAAGCAATACAGTAATAATAAATTTCAGTTGTGACTCTTTCTTTCTGTCTTTCTTCCTTTTCCTTACTACTTCCCCCTACTGCCTGTCTCCTGTTTTTTTTTTTTCCACTGGCCCTCCAGAGAGGAATAGCTGCTGACTTTTCTCTCACACTCCTTGCCTGCAGGCAGGCAGCCCCAGCCCCTCTCAGCTGCAGTTTTGTCTCTTCACTCAGTGCCACAGGAGCCTGCAGGCAGGCCAGGGGACATCTCACTGTCCCTTCAAGTCATCAGTGCCCTACCTAATCTCTTGTACCTTCCCAAGCTGACTTTCTCCAGATTCTCCCATTCTTCCATTTCTTGCCCAGATCCTTAGGAAAGCCATTCTCCAGCATTACACAGCAACCTTTGCTAGCTGCAGACTCAGTTACCCATCACAGTAAGCCTCTGCTTGTATAGAAGGCATCATGTATGCTTTTACCTCTGCTCTTCCCTGCCATTTTGTGCAGCTATCACAATGTGTTGAAGAGGAATAACACACAATGTGGTTGTCTCCTTTCTTTAGTTTATTGTCTTATATTTGTTTTGGTTTTTTTTTTTTTTTTTTTTGGGGGGGGGGGTTGTTTTGTTTTGTTTTGTTTTGATTTGTTTTTTCCAGAGGCTCAGCTACCCCAGCACCATCAGGATCTCAGAGCAGAAAGGAAAATTCCTGCAAGGAAAACTCCTGCAGGGTTATGGAGAAGAGCTCTTGGGTTTCATTAGGACTGGATACAGCCAGGATGATGCTTTTCCCATTAGTTCTGTGAGCCATTAATGTACCTGGTTTACAGCATACAAATCTGCATCTGTTGCTCTAGTTTTAGAGATGAAAAACTTTTTATAGTTGTCAATCTTGGTTATTAATATGCTCAAATCCTTAAAGAGGGCTATAATTTGCTTCCCAGGCATTCTTCATGTACTGCACATCTTTGTGTCACCATCCCTGCTGCTCTGAGCTCAACAGATGGCTCTTTGAATGCAGGTGGTATTTTTTCTTGCTATTGGAAGAAATATATTTACTGCTCATTCTGGCACCCATGAAATAAATTGTAACTTTAAAGAGATATATTTAAAAATATAAATAAAATGCCTGTAAGAGTTATTGCCAAATTGATATTGGACCAAAGGCACCTATTCAAGTGATCAGCAGCCAGAAATTAAGTGTATGAGCCAAGAGTATTGAAAGAACCATTAAGAACGTTAAAAAAATAAAAGAAGGAGATAAATCTCATACTGTGATGAATGATAGCCAAGGAATCTAATCATATCTGGGTAGAATTTACTGAAATAGCTCAACCAGACAAAAATGAAGAACATGAAAAAGATGGTGTAAAAATTATTGGAATGTTCTTTTTTCTGACAATTTTTCATTTATCTTCAAGAAGGAATAAAGATTTATTTAAAACAAATTGAATTAAGTGGTGAGCACTAGAATACGATTCCACTTGATCCTGATTTTATGGCTATAAAAACACATTCTCAGCAACTGCATATTAGGGGTTATGGGGGATGTTTTTTCAGTTTTCCAACCATCTTTCCCTAATAAACCAACCTGGAGAACTGTGACTGTTGCATTGGAAAATTCATCTCTGTTATAAGAGAATGTGAAATACATGAAACGTGAGGCAAAGGAACATACAAAAGATACACAACAAACTGTCAACACCATGTCTGTAGGCTTCCATTCCTCGATTCATCTATCTGGATTTTTTGTTTTTAATGTCAACATGTCTGGAAATTCTTGCATGTAATGAAGTGTGATGTGACGTGGAAAAAGTAGATCTGTGCATATTGTGACAAACTGACTTAAAAAAGGCACGTTTGCCAACAGATTGGACCAAAGTTTGGCTACTTTACTGTACAAATACAGATTTCATGGGGTCTTACCTCAGCAAATGCTCATCTTTTCTGTTGTGTCTTTAAATGAGGAGTAATCTGCTTCATTTCTGCTTGGGCTCTCTTGATGTCTTCAGTTATGGAAAGATAATCTGGTGGTCTGAAAGCTCTGTGGAATATCTCCCCCATGAAAGAGAGTGGGTTATGCATGTAGCCCATAAGAAGAGATGGAACATGCATTTTGTTTAAGCCACATTCTGTAGTCAGTAAACACTTCCAGATTCAAGCTGGTTATGGTACATATTCAAGGATTAGAGAGCAGCTGTTTTGAATCTCAGAGCTGGATGAAATTAAATTTGCTTTTAGAACTGGAAAATTAACTGCCAGCTGTGGTGAGGATCTAAACCATTCATTTTTATTCAGGTATATCACATGTTATGAACATCCTCTACAGGCATGGAACTGGCCACTCAACAGTCAAGAAGTTATTCATTACAATCAAGCGTGCATTAACAATTGAAATGTTCCTTTTCCCTTGGACAGTGAATGAGTTCACTGACCAGTGCTGCTGCTGGCTGGTCCTGTGGCCACTTTCACATGTGAGTAGAATCTTCCTGTAGGACTCAATCCCCTTTTTCTGCTGGGCTGCTCCTACAGGGGTGTGACAGGGCACCTTGTTGCTCACTCAGTGCTGACCATACATAAAACACTCTGTCCAAAATCCTTCATTGTGAGGTGATAGGAATCTTGTGCTTGGAAAGTCTCCAAAACCTTTGCTTTGCCTGCAGGTCCATTTCCTAGCCACCTACTGGCAATATAAACCAATTATCAAGGAACAAATGCATGTCTTTATTCTCTTTTTTTTTTTTTTTTTAATTTCCTTTTTTTTTGTGTTTGGTTGGTTGGTTGGTTGGATTTTTTCCTTCCCAGATTTCAGAAACACTGATCCAGAAACTGAATCAAAACCTGGTCCATTTTGAGTTGAAGCCAGGAGTTCGAATCCTTGTCCATGCTGCCCATTTATCAGCAGGTGAGTATCCTCTTTCTGTGCATGCCTTCTGTGTACCTCTGTAGCACAGAAAGCAATATATCAATGGTAGTAAAGTGCTATCAGCTATATTTTAAACATTTCTTATTTTTATATCACAGTAACAACATAGTGTATGAGCAGACATTAAAATGTCTGCTCTATCTCACCTTTCTATATCATACGAAAAAGATAGAGTGGCTTTTGCATTTACAGCTAAAGCTGTAACATTACATTACAGTCCTTTTGTTTCCTTAGGTGCAAGAATTTACTGGTTTTTTTTTTGAAATGTGGTATAAGTAGCAATAGAAGTGTGCATTTCTTGTTTATCTCCGAAATACTCAGCAGCTAAGCAGCACCAAGGCATTTTCAGCCTGGGTCACACAGTGCAAAAGCTACCTGCCAGCCTTGGATATGTTCAGATATTCTAGAGTCAACAAGTATTCAAAGTGGCTAAACACTGCTCAAAAGTTGTTCAGCAGCCTGAAAGACTAGAATCAATATAGATATGCACAAAAGTAAGATCAGGTAGTTTGGACTTTAATCCTATCTCAAAATAAGTAATCTCCGAAGTGCTGATATTTAATTACATATGTCATTGCCTATTCTGCATGCTAAAAACTTATTTCACATCACAGGTCCTACTTAATTATTACAAGAGATGGGACAAACCAATCCACACTCTTAGGAGTTCATTTTCCCCAGACACTGCTGATAATTCTGATCAGTTGCTATCAGCTTCTTCTGATAATTTGCAAACTTAAACCCTCAGTTCATTTGTACCAGAAGACTGTTCTCCAAAAAGGTTTTTGTGGTATGAATGGATCTACCCAACCAGGTGTCAGTCTACGTGCTGCTTGTAAGCAGTAAGAAAAATAAAAGGATGTAATATGACTGCATTTAAATCCCACCAAAAGAAAGGCTTGGGGTTTCCAATATTTCATTTTTCCTAAACAGAGCTTTCAAATATCTGTCCTGAGAATATTTCTGTATGCTTCTGCTTTCTATTAGCTGTGGAACAGATGACCAGATGCTTATTTTTAGACAAGTTAGAACCAAAAGCATGTAATGTCAGCTTCAAAAATGGAGTTACAGACAATTGTTCATAATTTTTACCAAAAATGCATGTTTTTATTTGTATTTACACACAGACACCAGGAAGGAGTACTTTTTGTCCATAACAGGTGCAAACACTCATTGTTTCTGCAAGGTAGGCTTTGCTGTACTCTCTCAAAGCCACCAGTGAGTGATTGCTGTAACTGGACTCACAGTGTCCCACAGGAACTTTATAGGATTTTGTCTCTTGCAGAAACAGGATTCAGTAAGAATGCAAAATGAGCTTGGATTGCCAAACTATGTATTAAAAACCCAGAGAACAGCCACTGTGAGGTCTTGGAGGAATTATGTCTCTTTAACAAGCTGCAGAGGTCATGTTCTCTGTCTAAGTAAAAGAACCAATTTCATGATACCAAAACTTGCGAATAGTTAAAAAATTGACAAAAAGCCATGAGAGAATTACTTCTCTGCTGAAAGGTATTGTTTTGGTTGCTAGAAAATAAGAACTGGCCTTTGGAAATCCAAGCTTTTATGAAAAATTAAATAAAATGAAGCACGGAAACCTGAAACACAGCACAGCACCAGAAGCAACCCTTAGAAAATACAGTCCCAGGGGATGCACATGCCCAAAGGTGCTGCTCTGGGCTATGTTATCCCTTCTCTCCCAGCCTTTTCACTGATTTTATGTTGGACTCTGGTAGCTTTGGGCTGTGGCTGGCTGAACCACAAAGCTCAACATATATTTTTGGAAGTGTACACACACGTGTACACCTACATTTATGTTGCCATACCTCAGTGCACATGTATGTTCCCCTCTGTGTGTGACTGCCCACACACAGCAGCATTTTCTGCAGCAGAGGACCTGCAGGGAGCAGAAGTGCAGGTATCTAAAATACCTTGGAGTGGACATTCAAGCAGAACCTGCAGAAATGACCCTCTGTGTGTGTGTGTGAGCGTGTGCATTCCCTGGAGCACAGAAGAATGACAGGCACTGGTCTCAGCACATTTCAGACTTCTGTCTTCTTTGTTCAGACCACACTGGAGGAAGAATTAATTTATGGCAATTATAGACAACAGATTGCAATTCACTCATCATGTTCATTCCTTCTTCTCATGAGATAAACAAACCAATGTACCCAACCCAACAGACAACAACTTCAGCTCTAAGGCAGAGGAAAATATGCCAATATTCCTCACAAAGCAGTTCAATAGCTGTTTATTACTAGGCTCTCAGTGCAGCATTAGAGCAAGAACATTGAGTGATACTGAATCTGAATAGGCTGGAGAGCCACTTTGTCGTCCTACAGAGCTGCAGAGACCCACAAAACACAGATGGAGAGGGGACAGAGTGGAGATGTGTAAGGAATTCATATTCATGGATTCTTTCATTCTGGTTCCTGCTAAATGTGGGAAGGGGAAGGTTTTTCACTTCTCTTTGTACATGTTGGCTTTATCAATCTGGGTGTGAAGCTGAAAATACACCTGCATGTGATGTGTGTGCCTTTGCTTGTGTTTGCCTGTTTCCTTGTGTCTTCTGGGTCAGGTTTAGGAGGGGTCTGCTCAGTGCATGTGAAGAGGTGCAGGAGGGGAAGGGGATGTGTTTGGAGCAGTTTGAGGTGACTTTGACAGCCTTGCAGAGGAGGGCACTACCTGGGCCATGTTCTGTGGGTGAGGATGTGTTTGCTCCTTGTCATGGCACAGCTGGAGCTCTGTGTCTGCATGAGCAACCGACTCTTCTGCTCCTACGTGTGAAACTGCTTCGAGGCTCACTGCACATTGTATATGTGTGTGAGAGTGATGGAAACTGTTTAATACCATTCACTTTATGCTTCTGGATGGGTTGGGTGGCCTTATTTTGGGAGGGATTATGGCAAGATGTTTAGCAAAACTCTGAAGAGAAATACGGAGAGGCTCCTTGTCTGATTAAGATTGGTTTGGGTGTGCTTTGGGTTTTTTTCTTGAATCTGAAAGAAAGTCCTCTAAGGAGGAAGCTGTGGAACTTCACATCAAGGAGTGTGTTGAGCACCGCAGGTGATCTGAACTTGGGTTTCTTCCCAGGTGGATTAAAAAGGGAGGGAAGCCAGGAGGTGTGTAGACCTGCTACAAGTGCAATAAGAGGGGAGGACGAACTGTATTTGTGGAGGGAGAAGCTTTCACTTCGGGCTGGGAGTGGCTCTAACCTCCTCCTCTCTTGCAGCTCCCCTGGTGGACCTCACTCCCAGTCACAGTGGTTCAGCCATGCTGATGCTCCTCTCTGTTGTTTTTGTGGGACTAGCTGTGTTTGTCATCTACAAGTTCAAAAGGTATGACCTTCCCTGAGCCATTTCCTTCTCTCCGTTGATGCCTTTTGCTGAGGTGTTTGGGGTTTGTTTGCTGGGTTTTTAGTTTTTTTCCTGAGTGAGTTGTTTTTTGGTTTGTAAAAGCTACATAATCTGCCAGAGTACCACACAATGATGGTTTCTGTTAATGTTTTAGGAAGATTCCTGGCCTTAATATATATGCACAGATGCAGAATGAAAAAGATCAAGAGATGGTCAGTCCAGTCAGTCAGAGGGAAAGCATACCTAATGTCCCTCAAAGTGAGCTGATGAGCCCTGAGCAACTAGTAGATGAGAAGTTGGAAGTCCACCCCATAGGTAAATAACTTGCAGCATCCTGCAGCTGGTCAGACTCCGACTTATAATTGGCTAACCTTTTTCTCAGCCTCCCTTCTTCCCATATTCCTGCACAATCCTTCTCCCATCCTCTTCTGCTGCAACATTAGTTTTGCTACAGGAAACCTTCTAACTCTTCCCTCTCCCTCACTGCCATGTGATGAAAGGGAGGGGAACAACTTTAGGCTTTTTCTCTCTCCTAGTTGCTCTACCTAGATCCCCTCCCCTTCTCAAAAAAATCCTGCTGGCAATGTAATTTATTTTGCTGGGGCTGATATAATTGTGGGGCTTAGCCCCATAGCCAGAACTTCAGCCACCCTCACCTGGAACATGGAGGTGAGCAGGTGATTTGGTAAGTAATGTCTAAAAGCTAAATATCTGTTCATGTTTTGACTGCTGGGATCTTAATGCCAGACCTTGTTGCTGGCAGCAGTGTTAGTCTGGCTGATTCCCAAATAAACTGAGTGAAACCTGGGATCTCAGTATTGGACAGCTGGGTTTATCCTCAGCCTGACTTCTCCCACAGGCCTCTGTGTTTGATTATTTCCAAAAGCAGTCTCTTTTAGGACCTAAAGTGAATAGATTTGGAGAGGGCATTCTGGGATCAGTCTGTTTTCTGTTACTCTGGCTGCAGTAGAAGTATGGGGACAGAGCAGGGAGGTTTCAGTCTGGAGACATGTTCTGCTAAAGCCAGGACTGCTTAGGCAATGCTCAGCTTCACTCATGAGGTGACAATTCTGCAGGTCCAGACTGCAAATAAGGACATGCACCTATTTCAGATGAATTAAAGAGAAGAGGCTGCCCAGGGATGTTGTGGAGTGTCCTTCTCTGGAGATATTCAGAACTCTCCTGGACATGATCCTGTGCAACCTGCTCTGAGTGAAATTGTTTTAGCAGGGGGGTTGGACTAGATGTTCTCTGGAGGTCCCTTCCAACCCCAGCTATTTGTGATTCTGTGACTTAGGCAGGAGTGAAGCACAGTTGCAACTCAGATTGCTTATTTGCACAGTTTCATCAGCCTAAACAAACCTTAGATCTCACCTGAGGATGTTCCTAAAATCTATTGGAGCGTTTGCTAAAGCAGGCTTGGAGTCATGGCTACTGTAGTGAACAAGGAAAAGGGCAATTAAAGGGGGGAGTGTGATGTGCCGAGATTGCAGCCTGTGAAACAACTGGGAGGAAAAAGGAGAAAGGCTTTTGAAGAAACTGATGTGTAAGCTGGAAGCTCCACTGCAGTCAATGCTATCTCTCCTAACCTGTTCACTAAGGAGATTTTTTAGCTATTAAAAGCTTTTAAGCAGTTATTCATCAGCAGACTGGACACCCCTGCTTAGCAGAACACAGGATGGAGTGAGGGGACCAACCTTCCCATGTGGTATTCCCCATACAGAGCAACCTCAGGCCACAGCCCAGAACCCAAGGAAAGGAAATGCAACCAAGGTAGTCTGGACAGAGGACTTCCAAAAAGCTTGTGGATCACCAAGAGATTTCAAGCCAAGACCCAGAGCGGTGGGTCCTAAAGTTTAACTATTTTTTTTTTTTTTTATGTTTGGTTTTTTTGTTATTGTTGGTTTTTCCCCCTTAGAAACCTCCAAGACAAAATTGCTGTAAGATGCTAAGAGAGAAACACCCAATTTCAAGTCAGGAACTCTTTTTATAGAGTTGGGTGAGCTTTGGGCTTTGAGGTTCCCCTTTCTAAAAGAATGCAGTGGTGGTGATACATGCTGTTCCAGGAGAAGGGAAAAATGTGTTTTCACATGTCACTCAGATTGCAGTGGCAAGGGTCAGTCACTGCTAGTTCTGTGCAAGGTACCTTCAAAACTGCTCTTGCTGGTGGTGGAAACTTGAACCCTAGAAGGCCCCAGGATAAGACAAAAAAAAAGCAAATTTTGGAGGCAGGTTTTCATTTGGTGCATCTATGGCATTTCTGGCTTTCTATAACAGCCAGAATTTTACACGTTTTTCAGCTGTGCTACTGGACACTGCATTGAACAAGAAATTGGCCTTTTACAACTCCTTGGTTTGCACCTGTGACTGCACGATCCAGCGCTAAAGTTAAATGTGTGAGATACACAGATTCAATTATGTATCAAAAGGAATCAGTCCCACAAACTTCCTAAGAGTGTTTTTCCATCCTGTCAGTGAGATGAATTAGAAAACTGAATCAGAGCTCATTGACAAAATGAGAAGGTCTGGACCTAGGTGTGAACAGAATAGAAAGTGCAAAGGCACTCTCCTATACAACTACTTCATCTGTTTCTGGAAATCAGCAATTTCTTTTTTAATGAGTTTTCTTTCTTTTGGGAAAACAAAGCAAGACTGTAATTGGGTGTTTCTCTTTTGTATGCTTGTTCAGAAACCTTTTTTTTTTTTTTTTTCATCACCTCTGACTGGCATTCAGGGATCCTGCCTTGGAGGAATCAGAATTAATGTCCCTGCATCATTTAATTTTCTCTCCAAACCCTGGCAGCAAAACCTCACTTTCCTAATTTCTGGATGTGAGTGGTTTAGGCACTTCTTTTGCAAATGCAAAGGTTAAGGTTATTTATGAAATCTCCAACACCTTATCATTGCAAATGAGTTACACATTTCCTCTGAGGACCTCAACTCCTCCTTCCCCCCACCCCTCTGCTCCTGTCTTTCCCTCTACCTTTCAACATGGATGAATCATCTTCATTAGCAAAAGAACAGGACATCATCTTCAGTGTTTGAATGACAAGAAAATATTTCTGGAAAGAATGTGTCAGTCTGGAACAGCTGAATCCCAAAGGCCATCAAGGTGATACCTGCAAGCTCTGCCTTGGCTAAATAATGCATGTTATTTACTGACTTTTATTTTGTTCTTTGCCACAGGAAGTATTTCCACAGCTGCTGAGCCCCAGAGCACAAAAGAAATCCCTACCTATGTAAATGGTTGAATTGAGGACACCAACATCTGTATCTAGAGAAAGGAGGAGAGCTCACTGCATTTGGACTTTTTAATTCTTCAGATGACAAAGGGTTTTTAGCTTTAAGCCTGTGCATGTGGACATTATACTGAGACCATAGTGGAACTGCATTGTGCAGGTGTTCAATTTTAGTGGGGGGTGGGGGGAGAGGAATTGGTACCACTATTCACTCCTGCAGCCCTTCCCCTCACCCTTTCACTCTCTTTTTTCTGATCTGTCTCTAATTTGTAGAAAATTCATAATGTTATAGGCCAAGAATATGCATGGGGAGGGTCTCCTCTTTAGGGAGAGGGGGTGGGCTGGGATGTGGGGGGAGAAGGGCTGGGGTGGTGGGAGGTGGGAGGGATGTTTAGGGTTCTTGGCTTTAGGTTTAACTGCTCTCTTAGCACTTTGGGCTGCGGGAGGGGTAGCCGCTCTGGCAGACTTCCGTAGGACACACAAAAAATCACACTGGAGTTTTAAGGCACTGAAAATATTCTTGGTCAGTCTGGTTTATCTCTCTGTTTGGACTCTGCCCTTCGTTCCTCTAGCTGCAGCTGCTGCCCGTGCCCCACACTGCGAGGAGGCTGAGTGTGAGCGTGGGTGATGCCAACTGCGAGGCCAGGCTCCTTCTTAAACAGCTTTGCTGTTTGGTCCTGCTCACACCAGGCATCCCACTATCCATGGGAGGATAACCCTGAACAGAGCAGAACAAGCAGGCATTGCAGGCAGGAGGTTATTGCCAGCAAGAACTTACTGTACTTTGTGCCAGCCTTACACCTTCAATTTTGGCTGAGAGAAAGCAGCACCCTCAGCTCCATGGAGTGCTGATGGCTGAATTTGTCTGGGGAAGTCGCAGGAGATCTCTGCCTTTTCAGAGTCGCCCAAAGGCCTGTCAGTTTTTGGAAATGCACCTTGTCCATAGAGTAGGGAGCAGGGCAAGGTCTGTGCACAGTTTTCCTGTGGCTTTCTTTGGCACCCTCATTGGTTGCAGACCTGCAAGTTCCTGCCAGTGTGAGCGGAGAAGGGAGAATTTGGCCTGGGACTGTTGCCATGCATTTTGAGCCTCAGCACTACAGCACCACTCTTACACAAGATTTGATTTCTTACCAATAACTTAAGCTTGTATCTTACCCTGCAAGTGGAAATGAGGCTGTAGGACATGTTCACAAGGGAACAGCAGGAAAGCAGGATTAGCACACCTCAGACAAGTCCTCCAAGGACACTGGAGAGCTGTGTGAAAACCAGCCCATGGTCATTGCAACTGTTGATTTCCAACCCAACTCAGGTAACTAAACCTAGCACCAGGATTTTGGTTTGGAGTGTAAAGACAGAAATGCTGTAACCAGTGTACACTTGCCTAACTATGTTAGGTGGAGGTAAGTAGCACTCATGATCAGTGAGGCACACGTAGGAGGCACCCTGATTGCTGACACAGGTGGGTTTTGTTCAGTAGACATTGCCCATGGCAACCTGAGTCAAAACCAGGAGAAAGCAGCATGGTCAGTGTGGCCCAGAGTCCCAGGGCAGGGATTTGGTGGTTGTGGGTTTGAATTTCTCCGTCACAAACTGGGCACAAACTTAAATCAACCCACTTGCTGGCAAAACAAACGTGATATCAAGGACATTAGTCCCATAGTAGTTAAAGGATAATCACAGTACAGAGTCCTCTGCCTCTTTCTGCAGTTTCTCTGAGGACTGATGGAAACAGCAATTTGTATGGCTTTGCTATTATGTTTGCAACTACAGCTTTAAGAAAGATGGGAAAGTTTTGACTGCAACTGTATAATAGTCCCCACTGAAGTCCAACATTAGCCAACTTATTTTTATAGTAAGCCAATCAAAAAGTTTTCTTATAGTGTTGGAACTATTTCTAATTTTAAAATTACTTTTTTTGATGTACTTTTTCATCTTCTTTTTCCCTTTCGTTAAATACAATGTAGCGTAATGTATAATTGCTATTGTTTATTGCTTTTACAGTCATATTTATTAAACAGATTATGTCTCTAAATGGTTTTGTTGCCCATGTTTTTCTTGCTCATTTTAGTCTCTGTCCCTGGTGGGAATCACTAACAATATTAAAGCAGGAGGTAGTTGATAACCTAAAAAAGATATGGATGTTCACAAATGAGGGAAAATGCAGTTCCTAGAAGCAGGATGCCAATATAAAGATAACTTTGTCAGTTCTCAATTCTTCTGCTTTCCAGACATGCAATGATAAAGCTCTGAGCAGTTCCCTGGAACTCCAGCTCCATTCCCTGTCCATGCTTATCCTACCCCATACAGTCTCTGTTAAATGTTGCTTTAAATTTTTTTTTTTTTTTTTGGCTCTGGCTCTGCTTCTGCCAGCACCGATGAAGGAAAGTCTGAATTATTAGCATTACTGATTAATTTACATGTGAATAAAATGAAGCCTAGGAAGTTTCTGTCAGCTTGCCATATGGCAGTGGATGCATGTTGCTGAGTTATAAAAGGAAGAAAACAGAACTTCTCTGCTTTTCAAGTCAGGATGCAGCCAGCACTTATAACAGAATCCTGGTTCAGTGCTTTTTATTTGTACCTCAGGATCTGAATTTCTATATGCACATAGAGTCAAAGATGTGGGGTTTGGGTATCCTCAACAACCACGGCTGTGGTATGACATATTACAGTCCAGGAGTCCTGGCTTTCCTCGTTGGAGGAGGGCATAGTTTTCAGTCCTGGGCAGACCCCAGTGTAAGTAACAATTATTAGCCTAGAATGTTCAAGTGGACACTTCAGCCTTCTCCATCTAAGCTGGAATGGCCACAGTGCAGGTGACTCACTGAGGTGTGTGAAGCTATAATCTGTTTTAATAGTTTGAGTACCCACCTGAATCAGCAGGCATCTGTTCTGGCCATAAACAGTAAGTCTGGTTTGGCAAGCATCTCTCTACAGCATTCTCAGATCATTCTCTGCAGCTTGTTCTGTGTCCTGAGGCAGAGACTGATTGTTATTTGTAGTTGTTTTCTGGTTTGTATAACAACACAGTAATTCACTCCTAATGGATGAACACTGTGAGAGTAAACAAAGAATACAAATACTTATGAAATCCAATATGAATTTTCTCTGAGGATGTTGTCTTCCCTTGAAGGAACAAAAAAAGTTCATCATCCTTTTTAAGAAGGAATAGGGAGTTAAAATATGGTTAAAAAGTCAAATAAAGTATTGTCCTAATTTTATGTTGATTCTCTACCATCATCTTAACAAATGGATGAGACAGACATCTTGGCTTCAGGGAGATTTATACTTCGGTATACAAATTTATACATTTGAGCTAAGATGCTGGATTGCTTTTCCTGGATATTAGTAGTTGTTGGTGTTCAAATACTTTTGGGGACTTGGTCCTCAAACAATTGCTTGCTCTTAATATGTGATTACATCTGATTGCTTAAACTCTTTCTGAAAAGCAGAAGTCTTGAAGTACTTGCTAAAATGCTTATGCAAATGAAGCAGGAATTCCCAGTGACCCTGAATGAACCCTGTCTTGGTCCTGTCAACTTCTGCTGAGAATTTCTGACAATTGCATTTAGTGTGGTACCCAGAGCTGATAACAAGGGATTAGTATTTTATCTGTGTGCTGTCACCTCTCATTGAATGCATGAGAAGTTTTCTTGTCACATTGTATCTCTAGGTGCATTCAGTGTTTTAAACATTACCCCTGATTGCAGAGCTACCATGTTCATGGTGTTGAAAAAGAAAACTTTATTTTCCTTTAGTTAATGAGATGCTGTCCCTGCATTTCTCCATGAAACAGAATCATAAAGCATGTGAATAAATAATATGTGAGCTAAAACAGATCCTTTTAGTTTAGAGTGTTGGTATGATCTTGGCCATAATACCCAGAAGAAAAGACTGAAGTCAGATTGTTTTCTAATTGATAAGATCAAAGTGCTATCATGTACCAAGTCATTAGCCTAAGAGATGTATTTCATCTGCAGTTTTATCTTTAGCTTTTTCCTTTCCCTTTTTTCCATTTTGTTACTTTTAATTTCATTCCTTTCCCTTTTTTCCATCTGGGGAATATGGCTTTCTCTTACTGAAAGAGGGATGTAAAGGAAATTTGTGTTGTATTATTCTCAGTGTGAGGATTTCAAGATGTATTCCTTCTTCTTTGCATTGTGGTGCAGCCCCCCAGTGCTAGGTGCTGTGTGCACCTTGGCAGTAAAGGTGAAAATATCAGGGGACAGATTTTTCTTACCAGCTCTGTATTGCAAGTTGGGTCTCACATTGTAATCTTGGGCCATTTTGGTGAATGGACCTTAATCAGCCTTCTCTACACACTCCAGAGAAAATAAATGGGAATCTCAAAGTTTTGAGAGTTTTATACTTTTTTATGGAGAAGCCCTGAGAGACAAAGGTGCAAGAAAGGAATGTAGCAAAACCCTTGAGATGAGAGGCACGATTGCCTGCCTTTGATAGAACACGGATGCAAGAAAAAACCCTTCCCTTTTGAGACAAATTCCTCCTCCGGCCTTCCCTAAACAAAGCTGGGTATGGTGACTGCATTTCTGGACTTCAGCTACCCTTGCAAATAATTGCTCCCCAGCCCAAGAGCGTGGGCCACTGGTCCCATGGACCTCATCCTCGCTGTGCCCCCATGAGGCAGCTGTAGGGCAGAGCTCTGAAACAAGAATTGGACTGACAGCTGCCTCTGCTCTGGCTGCTTGCTGCAAAGGGATGAATAATGCATGCAGCACATTTAAATGTAATGTCACTGAGTGCTTTCAGGGAGAAAACCTTCGATAATTAACCCTGCCTGCATGAGAGGAACATCCTTGTTCGATTCCCTGCAGTGAGGGGCTGGACCTGCATCTCCACCCCAGAAGGGTGTGGGTTGCAGCACATCCCCATCTCCTTGTGGGCTGCACTCCAGGCTGAGGGTCCGTCCTGGGGCTGAGGCAGTTCAGTGCAGGGTCCTGCTCTTGACATCTTGGCTGAAGCTGGAAACTTTCCTTAACCTCTGAAGCAGACTGCTCACTTGAAATGATCCCTGCCTGATGTCACATGAGGTGAGTGGATGAGATTCAGCACTGTTGAGAACTGCATGGTGTACGCCATGTGGAATACTTACACCAGATATTTCACAGGAAATAACTTTTTCCCACATTCCACATTTGCCCAGTCCCACAGAGTGTGAGATTCAAACCACTGTAAACCTCCTTTGTGGTCCCCTGAAGCTACAACATGTCTAGAGCAAAGACCTGAGGTTTCTTCCATTCCTTCTATGGCTTTATGTGTGAGGTGAAGCTGTTTG